GACGTGCAACGGACAACAGTATTTTGGATTAATTATTAAAATACCCTGCAGTGACTATTTTCGCAGACTTTTCGTAGTGTGCGTACATGTATTTATAATATGAGTTTGATATATTATTGAGGGGGTAAATTTAAAATGTCAACACCAACACCAATATTAACTGAAACGTCATCTGTTTATGGGACTTTTAACGTAGGTTACTATTTAATAATCAAAAACTGTGTAGTGGTTTTACCTCTGAAAATAAGAATGACGAAAAATAACAGACATGTAACATTGTAGATCTATTTTTTTTTTTTTTCCATAAGTAGTTAAAAAAAATAAATAATTCTAAAAACGTTATACTTTCCGGGATAACATGATTGTCTTATCGAGGATTGATCGTATTGCGAGTATAAAAAAAAAAAAATGTTTTTCTCTACGTCTGCGGAATCTTTTGGTTCGTTTATTGAAAAAAAAAAAAAAACACAGATGGCGGGTGCATATTTTAATTGTTCGTAGCGCACGTAAAAAATAGCCACTGAAAACACCAACTATCGACGATACGATTTTAACAATACGTCTTCGCGCGGTCGGTAATTTAGCAATACAAAACATTTTTACAGAATTGTATACGTTTGTATTATTATAATATTATTATGTAAAGCGCTGTCACTTCGCATAGAAACCTTTAGAAAACGACTCGCCGTGGAATCGGTATTATTTGTGTAACGTTTTATTTATTTACATCGCGTTAGATTATTTTTAATTGCTATAAGAGTTGTATATTGTTTACAAAACAAAAAAAAAAAAAAAAAATCAGGAGACACCGGAACGATGAGTGCATTCATTTGATAGTTAAAACCAGAAATGTTCATACACGAAGATTATAGTATTCGTGAAGATGCACAATATTATTACGTTGAACAATATTCAAGCGTATTACTATTTTTTGTTCGTAGTAGTAATAGCGGTAGTAGTCTACATAATATAAAGCGTGTGATTATTCTATCCGAGTGACATTTATGAGCAATGGTGCACAACATACTATACTTAAGCGACCAACCCCTTTATAACAATACATCACTTTTATTTTTATTTTTTTTTATTTTTTATGCGAACACTTTTTCTACCAGAAAGCATTTTTCGATGGTGTATACAATGTAGACTCTTTTCTGGTAGGAAATTTTTTTTTGAAGTGGTACTTTAAGGAGATCATTTTTCGATTTTCTCATCGAATGTGAAAAATCGAAAAAAGAAAACGGGAAAGTGTTTGGTAATATATTGGTAAAATATTATGATTTTTTTTCCGTGGAAAACTTGTCTACCAGCAATTTAGCTCCGATTCACAATAATAGCACTTTTTCTAGAAGTAGAGAGAGGTCATTTTCGATTTTCCCAATAGTTTTCTTAGGAAATCCGAAAAACCGGAGGGAAATGTAGGAAAACGGGATAATCGGATCAATATTAAACAAATATTATTAAAGAAAAAATATAATGCCTATTTAATATCATAATATGATATATATATATATATATAAATATATATTGTTGACAAAGCGTCATTATCAATTGAACTCCGCTCAGAATCGTTAGCGATGGTTCATCGTTGCTTACAGATGTACATTAAATTCCCTTCTGCATCCTACCTTCCCAACTCCCCACCTAGAACAGTGGCAGCGCCCGTCCCCATTATCCTAGGATAGCTTTTTTTTTATTATTATACGTTGTACACATATATTCGCACCAATAAAATACCAATACAAATAAGTTCCCGAGTACCTTATATCTCACGAACCCGCGGTTTTCAAGTGAGCAAACGTCCAATACCAATTTCCTTAATCTTCCTTGCACATGCCGTGTGCCTATAACGGTGTAAACGAATCGGACGCTAGTATCGCTCGTTTGAATACCAACGGTCTGAATAAAATGTGATGTTTGAGATTTAGATTGATTCCATTGAACGGTCAATTACCGGAATCTACGGAGTGATCCATGAAGACGGATACACGCATTATCTCGGAGAGTATTGACTTTTATCGGAATTTGTTTTATAGAACATTTAAGAAACAAGCAGCTCTATAAATACAATTGCGTTCACAAACAAATACAGTTAGAGTAACATTATATTTTGTCATCCATAAATCAAACGTAGCTGGTAGTCATTTCACCCCGAAAAACAAGGGCAACAAAAAATAATATTAATGTAACGGTTTTGAACTGTTTGAAAAAAAAAAAAAAAAAGTCAGTATTTTTCGAAATGTCCCGTGTACAACCGCACTTAAATGGATCATTCGTGTAGATGATATGAACGCATAAACCGTGTGAAGTATTTTATACATTAATACGTTAAATATTTCAACCCGTCAACTGTGGCAATATCGCGGCGATCGTAATCCATTTCGATGTTATTATTAATTGTTCGAATATCGTATAATTGCGTCACACTTTCCGTATACTGCTGGGGCAGACGGCATGATGATGTACATGAATACGCGTACGCGTAATGAAAAATAAAAAATAAACGGGTTTTTTTTTTTTTTTTTGCGATTTCCCACTCAAATTGTTTGTATAAACTCCACCCACCCCGCCCTCCACCCCATTGTATACACGGCATTGGTAAACACGTCGATAAACATATACGTAAAGCATATGTGCGGAGGGTTCTAAAATAAAATCGAACGACCGTCCGCGAGTGGAATGAAAAACAGCGTATAACAAACCACACTCATCGCCACGATCATAATAATACATGGCCGACCAGCGACGGGTTGATAAGAAGTTAAATGTAAAATTTAATTTCGAATACAATATAATACACCCGATTCCCGCTAAAAATGCGATTATTTGGGAACGTTTGTTTGTAGCAGTTGAACTTTTGTCGTCTCTGTTTATCCGCATAACGGGCGGTATACGAGAGCTCGTATAGCAAAAATGTGACCAATGTGTTTAAGCATTTCTGTTCGGCCAAACAACGATGCAAGCATAGTACTTACCGAATAAAAATTACGTAAAAACCACGCGAATAGAAGTTGCCTATAAAAAACCCACAAATCGCCAAAATATTCCGAAAATATTACTACGTCTATAAAATGCGAATATAAGTTTACTGTCTAAATTCAAGTGTCTACAAATATTTTTAACTGAATAACAACAAAAAAAACAAAGTTGAAAACAACGAAACCATAATTTCTGTTTTTTCCCGGCTTTGGTCTGCAATAATTAAGAAAACTACAAAAGGAAAAGAACGATTTATTTCCTACACTAGACCAAAAATTCAACAAAAGGAAGAATTTTGAAATTTTTTAATGCAATCAAAGTTCCTGATAAAAAAAAAAATAATTCACACAAATAATTTGAGATAATGAAATCGTACACCGTGAATTTGTTCCTTTTCATTTTTCGTCTTTTTTAAGTTATTTCTAATTGTTATCAAAATCGCTGAAATAATAAAAAAAATAACTTACTTTCTCAGCGTCTAAATTAAAATGCAATAAGAAAGGTCTTTTAAGCAGGATTTCTGGTAGAAAAAATAACGCGCAAAAATTTAAAATGGTGAAATCGACAATATCGTGTCTCGCCGTAATTGTTTTTCCGTTTTTCCGATAATTTCTTTCCCAATTATTTTGAAAACCCCTTGGAAAATCAAAAAAAGACCTCCCAAAGGCATTGACTATATCCAAAATTAAAAAAAACATGTCTCTTGTCATTTTCGATAAGACCAATAAATCCCTCGCTACGGTCCGAATCTAAAAGAAGTCACAATTGTTTAAAAAAAAAAAAAAATGTAAAATGTTCACCATTTTTGGTACCTTCGACAATTTTAATGAGCTGAATAAATTACCAGTGCTTAGACAATAGTATCAATTATACACTTTTTATAATAATTAGCGTCTTATCTTTGAAACCGATTGTTATAAATCATTTTCGTTTTATTTACGTAAACACATTTTTACTGCCCATATCGCATGTCTTAAAAATACGGCGACGACAAATGCAAATGTGACGGCCACTTAGCGAACAAAGGCATTCAAAATATCGAGGGGAAAAAAACCAGAAGTTTAACTCCTTGGACAACTTTTTCAATATTGAATTGCTACATCGCCCGATCGTATTCGTTCGGGAGTACGTTTTTTTAATATTCGTTTAAAACTAAACGATCATATCGAATGAACCGAAATCAAATACATATTATACGTTCGTTTATCGATCCCGATGTTTCATATTATTAATATTATAAATCAACTGTAACATCAAATGTTTAATAACTAATGATGAAAGGCAAAAAAAAAAAAACGTAATGTTATTTTTTTGTACTTTATGAAAGTTTAATGTAATACAATATTATGTTGATATTGTTTTTGTACGGTTATTAAAAATATAATATCGTGTGTCAACGGTAGGTATCATTATTATAAACATTTTGAAAAATACAACCGACCGTGTTGTCTACCCTACTCAACGTTTCTTTAATATTTATACTGTATCGTTTGGCAGGAGCATTTTACTTGCTCGCGTTTAGTGTTATCGCGTAGGTAACTATCGGTATTATTGACTAAATTGTCAATTACCGTCGTATATTTAACGTGCCCACACATTTTGATCCTGACCGTTGAGATAATATTATCGTTACTACACTTTCAGTAGCGTGGTAAGGAATTTATTATCCGGATAATAACTAAATTTTTATGTATCTTTTATCTTCATCTGGATAATATTTTTCTAGCGTTTATCTCTAATCATTATGAAGATATTTTAAATATTATCCTATACAACACCAGTGGCGCCTGCAGAGGGTCAGTTCAAATGTTATAAGCCCTTCCCACCCCTATTGGTTAAGAAATACAACTACTACGAACGTTTATTCGGGAATTTTATCTCGAAATTATTTATTTTAGCCAAATGACCGGGAAAAAAGCTCGATTTATTAAATGAAAATTTACTTTTTCGATAGACGATAGTTCTACAATTCATTCGCGAACCACGAGTGGTATATTTTACTACATCCCCTCCCGTCAAAAATGTCCGAGAGTGCCGCCAGTCGGCAGAACCAACAGAGCAATTTCACCGCGAAATGTTTTCATTTTTTGTTCGCACTTGGGACGGTGTTGGTAGTGAGGAAATTGTTGGGCCTCAAACGAACTGGAAAAAAAAGTTCTACGTACCACATACCACAGTACGAATCATTACGACGTTACAGGTAAATCGATAATTAGTGTTGAGATTTTTGTTGTCGACCAAAAAAAAAAAATCACGTAACGTAGCGTATTAATCATACTCGTGGCACAGTCGAAAAAACAAACAAGACGTGCATTATACAGAATAAGTTTTTTAAGCGTATGAATATGACTTTAATAACCGTAACGCGTAGTGATACCGCAGTAAACGTCCTCTGCAGATTGTTTCGGCGTAAGCAATTTAAGTTTCAACGATATTCAATCCGACCCCTTTATTCCGGTAATTTAATGACTCTGTTACGAGGTGGGTGGTAGGGGAGGGAAACTCAATTAATAAATTATTGTCGATGCCCCCTCCGTTCCTCCAAAAAAAAAAATAATATTAAAAACTAAAAAAATATTATGCGCGTGTACGATCGCGTTTCGTTAATTACCTATATTATTCGTCTTTCGCGTTCGCTTTATACAATTTAGACGTGTATAAGTTATTTGCGTAAAAATACTCGCTACGAATTCACGTGGATATCGTTATCTATTATATTTTATTAAAAAAACAGCTCCATCGTTTAAAACAGAGATTTTGAAAAAAAAAAAAAAAAAAAACGGAATTTTACAAATTTCAGATAACTGCGTTACAACTACACTCGCGACAACCGCGACACTTGTTCATAATTTCGTACATCCGATTTGAATACATTTTCTTCAGTCGATATCGGTTTTCGCGTCTACATTTTTTTTTTTTCGAAAACGTCGTACAAATTGCCTATACGCAACCCCTTGAATGTTATCGATAATATTCGCGTTTAAATATAGAATATTATAAACCGCGTTGTTAGAATTTATCCGTCAACGTAAAAACGCTAACACGGTGTATATATTATACATCGCATCACTCGTCAGTTATCACTCAACGTATACTAGAAAACCTGTTTACAAAAAAAAAAAAAGACTTAATATTTCAGCTGGATTGTAATAGGATTTTTGGAAGTTGATAGGAAGTAACGAAATATACATTTTCAGACGAATTTCAAACTGTGTAACACTTCCGGTGCGCGCGTGTATAGTACAAATTACTTTTTTTTATACAACTTTCGTATCAAAGTAATTTTTCTTATCACGAAATTGTCAAAATCACAATATGTTGAAATGTAATCCCTGTACAATTACCAATCTAATTATATTGAGGATAGCTCGATTATAAAATGATTATTGCATTATTATTAATTAATTAACGATTATTATATGTAATTTCATTACAAATAAATTTTTTGTAAATATTAAATTCAAAAATGATAAAACTTAGCAAATTTTGTAATTAAAAAAAAATCTTTTTACACAAGAAATGTTTAAAAATAGGACAGACATGTTTCGCACCTTGGTGCAGCCATAGTTGTGGGTGGGAAGTTGAGAAGGTAAAATACAAACGGGAATTTAACGTGTATCTGTTAGCAAAGATAAACCATTGCTAACGAAAAAACTATTCTGAGCGGAATTCAGTTGATAGGTTTGCTTTTTCAACGATATATATATATGTCATATTATGGTAAAATGATTATAACCTTGTGCGTTTCCATGACAATAATGATCGTTTGAAAAATATTAAAATAATAACAAAAAATAAAAATCACGGTTGCCAATGACAACCAATTTTTAATTTTTCTAATCTTTTTTAACTCAAAGAACCAGGTTTTCCTCATTACCTCGAATATTAATGAGAATTTCAAAAAATGACCTATCTAAAGCACCACCCAGTGAACATTTCCTTTCAGGAAAGTTGCTATACTTGATAATCGAAATAATCTTGCTGGTAGAAAAATTGTTCACATAAAACAAAAATAATAAACTAAGGAAAAACGATTCTGAGAAAAGTCCAGTTGAACATAATTTGAAATTTTGTGATTTTCAAGATTTACTTTAATGCTTGTAAAAAAAAATTACGTACAAAAGAGGGCTAGATAAGAAAAATTATTCGTCGAAAGTATTTTGTCGGAAAATAATTTTAAACCGATCTAAGTATGACAAGCTATCGCGAAATAATAGTTCTCAAATTCCCAATGAAATAATATTCCGAAAGAATAATGTTTCCGATAAAATATTTTTCGACGAAATACAGTCAACAACAAATTACGTTTCAGAAAAGATAATTTCATTTTTTTTTTTATACGCCTCTCTTGGAAAGTATTTTTTCTGGACTATTAAAGTTTTACCGAAAAAAAGCTAAAGAAAACGTGACAATTTTAAATGACTATAAGACAATAGCTCAAAAACCACCGAAATGTTTTTAAAACTTAACCATGTCGACAAAAAACAATGATAAGTATTCCGTGATAATTTCAAATTGAAAAATAAAATATTAAAAATATCAAAAACAACGGAAACCGTTATTTTGAAAATTGTCTCGTTTCTTTCAATCTATTAAGAAAACTACAGGGAAAATTAAAAATATACATTCTCAATGCGCCAACTAGACGATATTTTCCAGCACAGTTCACCTTCGGAATTTTTAATCGGGCCACGGTTTTCGATTAATATCAACACAAAAAAAAAAAAAAAACACATACCGTATTAAAACCGAAATAAATATTATAATATTCGCGTATTTTTCAATGACGATACGGTTTACTGCTCGCGATCTCAAACATTGCAATATAACTCATATAAAAACTGTGTTCCGGTTTCGCTGGCGTTTCCGCAGTCCGGTATAGTGTCGGAGAATATAGGTATGGAGGCCTCTGGCGATTCGGCCTCCTATATTTTGAAATATATCCCCCCCGGACAGTACACTTCTCTGGTCCGGAAGCGCCGCGTTTTCGCCGTTGATTTTCAACCGGTGTTTCCGTTTTGGCGTCGGCAGCTCGACAACGGCGTACGCGTTATACCTGCCTACCTAGGTACCTACTATGTTACAACAATCAGGCCAGTTATCTCGAAAATCGTACATTGTGTCGTGAACCGTCTTGTTTATAATAATCGTATGTATCCATAACATTGATTTTTAACGATTTCGGAGATTGCACTTTAAAACTGTTTAAAGGGTTCAGCATTATGCTTAAAGTTTCATAAGTCCTCTCTTCTCTACGGGAATTTCGATACGTATGATAGTGTAAACTCGACCGGTTTTTTTTTTTTTGATTTTTTTTAAGTTTTACGGTTTAAATGGAGGATACGGGGATAGTGATCAGATCGAATTTAAACAGTTACAAGTAGCTATATTATTGTAGTTACTTAAATACTACAAAAATAACTATACATATTTTTGTCATTCTTTTTGGAGCGATAGAAATTCTCAAAAAGTTTCTCGTAGTATATTATTAGAACTTTGAACGTATGATAAATTGAACACAGAGATTTTTATAAAGGGTCGTTTTTTTTTTTTTTCGATGTCCGAAAAATTTATAAAAACCTTAAAACTCGGCGGAATAAATATTAATCAGCAGGAGTGAAATTCAAAACTAACCGGGGATTATAAAACTTTGTATGATCAATTTCAAAAATGTTTACACACTCAAATTTATTGCTGTACTATAAACATTGAAAATATACGAGTACCTACTGAAATAAAAGTGTATGGTAAATTAAACTTCACTGGAATCCTTTTTTTTTTTTTTTTTAATGAACCAGTCAAATTCGTTGTTCTTCTTTTTAAAAAAATTGTTCACAATGCGTACACGTAACAAAAAAGAAAATAGTGTCAAAAAAATATATTAAAAAGCTCCACGTGCTTGCACCATAGTTCGGCCACTTTTGTAAGAAGAAATTTCGAAAGGTATAGGGTATAGTGTGATTACATTTTTATATTAAAAGCAACGATACATCGTTACAATCAAAAAACGATTCTGAGCAGAGTATTTCTAATAATATTACTCTTTTTTCCCCTTTTTAGAAAAAGGTAAAGCAGTAATAGACTTGCAGTAATTAAACCGATGTATTGACATTTGTCGACCCTATATTTAATAAAATAAAATAAAAAAAAATACTTATCTATAAATCGTCTTTAAATAAATAAAACCACCAGACGAAAAATCTATAAGGTATAACGCATAAAAAATATTGGAGCATTTTTACTCATCAAAAAAGTTGTTTTATTCAGTTTAGTACACTACGTACACAGCTTACAACAACGAGTAAAATATTTTATATTATATAAGTATTTAAAAAATAATTCATAACTTTTAAGCTTAGGGACGGAAATATAAAATATTTATGAAGGAAGAGATGATGGGAGGGTCTGACTAAAAATTATTTTTAATAGGAGTAAATTGGAAATTGAAAATATAATTAAACACCTGAAGTAATTTTGAAATAGGAGAGGGGGTTATCCCTTTGCTCAAATATATAAGTAGTATTTTGATCTTTGAACTTTACAATTCTGGAAATTTATAAAAATGAAGTTTTAACGTAGTAGAATTTATCGCAAATAAAAATGTTTGCTTTGGGTTAAAATATAAACAAATAATACGTTTTTTATTTTATTTAACAATACAAATCCGTGTAGAATCTCAGTAAGAATAATAAAAACTGCAAAATTACAAGTGATTCAAAAACATTAAATACCCGGAAGAAAAAACTCTAACCTTGTATGACAACGAGATTATAAAAAAAAAAAAATGTAGGCACAGTTTATTATCCCATTCAAATCTTCCTTCTTTTTTTTTGCCCTCGTAATTCTATATTTATTTTTAAAATGATTGCGCAGTAAAAAAAAAATACGTTGAAAAACGTTAGTTAGGTACACGAGCACTCAAAGTTCGCCGATACACTTATACTTGCCTATAGACCGACTGAGTGCCTGCAGAATGACGATATTGTCACCTTATATTTTCGTATTCTCGGTAGCACTCGTGTCTCGTATATTTAATTACTTTAATTTTTTTTTTTTTTCAAACCTTGTAAAATCAAAAATCGGGTAAACGCTTTTTCTCGCATTAATCGAAAATATAACAAATAATCTCGCTGCAATTTTATTATGTCACATTAGTACCACAAGTAATTGAGTTATATGAAAAAGAATTTTACATTTATTTGACATTGGTTTCCAATGGTGTTTTCTTTTTGGTTTGTGTCGCGTTTTAATAGACGTTTTAATGGTATATCATTTTAGATGAAGTTAATTATTTTTTTTTATGTCCGTGAAATACTTTCTGCCCCGATTTTCAAATGTAGCATTTTTTCTGAAAATTAATCTAAACTGGGATGGTACTTTAGAGAGGTCATTTTTTCATTTTCCCATGGATTTTCATAATAAATAAAAAAAAAAAACGAGAAAATTCGCTCAATTAATTATTTTCAAATAGTTAACAAAACGGCCTTTCAAAACATAATATACAACCGAACTCCACTCAGAATCGTTTTTCGTTAGTAATGGTTTAATCGTTGCGCACATATACACATTAAATTTCCCATCGACCTTCTCGACTTATCACCCGCAACAGTGGCCCACCCGTCGTGTGAAGTATTTCCGTTTTTTTCTATTGTCCGTACCACAAAATATGAGCGCTAAATCGTACGCATTTTCGTTCGGAATTACTAAATAAATAAAATCAAAATTGAATGTACGTTTTTCGCGAGTCTGTAAATCCCATATTCCTTATTGTTATATCGATCTCGTGAGCTTGCATTTATATTTTTTTCTAATGCCACAAACGTCAACAGTTCACTTTTGTTCGCGTTGTATCGTAAACCCACGACAGACCGACTCGTATTTTGCATACACAACACCGTCGCGTAGTCGAATTAAGTTTTTATAAGTTAACCGCATTGTGTCGCCTAACCGTTTTATTTATTTATTACAAACTACTACGGGCAACGTTTCTATATGGGGTGCCATAAAAATTGGCGGCGAAAAATTTTCATTTCGTTTTTTTTTTTTTTTTTTCCTGTTCACTTAACAGTTCATCATACTTTTACTAGTTCTGTACTAACTAGGCACATATTCCGAACAGCATAGTCATAAATACTCAAAGCGCGTGAATATCCATCGGTTTGAAACAAAAGCAATTTTAACTTTCATTAAAACGTTAGTTATAAAATTAAGATTTCGGAATTATGTTAAAATATTTTCCGGGTTCAATTTCTTGATTACATCGGATTTTATTAACAGATCGCAGATTTCTGCGCCGTCAACACTAAATTCCTCATTCGAACAGTCTATTTGGTATCTAGTTTTTTACCGAACTATATTGTTTTTTTCTTAAGAAACAGTTTGTCAACAGCGGTAACTCAATAGGGGGAGGGAACAAGAAGGGCACTATTGATATTTATAATATTATTTCAGTGATGGCACAAAATTATATCATGACAATCAATTGTTCGATTCGCCCGTTCGTTCGTTTATTGAAAAAATATCTTTGGTGCCTGTGTCTGGTGTTGACAACGCCCAAGAGACAAATCCCTCGGCACCTCAACGGCGGCCCGAACGATCTAACAAGAGAAAATCTACGATACGCGCAATCCCTCTAGTGTCTCATAACAAACGAAAACGACACCCACGAACGAGCTATAAAACGTCAAGATCATGTGCACTCGCATTGGAGTTGATGATAGGCAGGAGATAAGTCAGAATAAAAGGAAAAAGTTCCAAACCCACTTACGAAAAAGTCAGCCTATCACATTATGATAACTACATTGTAGTCAAGTGTGTTTCACGCCTCATTCAGAAACTGGCAGTACAAATAAAAGAGCAATATTATTCATGAAAGTAAGAGTAAAGTGAGGTTATGGATTAAAAAAAGGATGACTTGGCTACAATATAGATGTCACTACTCGGATGGACTGAATTTTTTTTTTTCTTCGGAGGTGGTCCGGAAAACGATCCTTTTTACACGCGGTCATGTATTTGTTGGGAATTATATTGACTATAGGTTCAACTTATTTGTTTATTTGTAAAGAAATTTGTACTGAAAACAGATAGCCATATTACATTCGTGGTAGATACTAAATACAAAAAGTTCAAAACGAGGATATATATCCTTATCTTCCCTCCCCTTCGAATACGCCACGATATCCAAATTTTCTCTGATACTTCAATGCTAGAAAAATTCCATTAATATGCGTCTGTGGTATTGATAAAAATCGTTATTTATTCATATACCCGTGAGAATAATATTTATTTATCGGCCGACAATAATTTAAAAACAATGGCAGAATTAAAATCATTGTTATAGTTGTATACAGAAGTACAATATTATTACTTAGTAGCGCTACTAGTTCCGAGTTCACCTAGAAAGTAACATCAAGAAAAAAAGATTACAGCTGCTATGTGGAAAAAGAGGGAGACCACCAAATTATTTACTACAGTCAAAACCCGTCGAGAAAAATATTTTTTTTTTATTTTAATATTTTCACGATAACTGTACACGGACTTAACTCGTTTGTTTTTTTTTTTTTTCAAAATCTATTTAAATTTGTGCGTGCTGCGTAATGCATGTATTGAATATTTAATCAGCGAAGCTAAATAATTTTCATAAATTCGAAGAACATTATTCCTCGAATATTTCAATTAATTTAAATATAATAATATACAGACGAGGAACGAAATTATTACCAAGAGAACGTCTCGCGGATCGCTTTCGGTGACAAAAACATGTTTACGGAGCAGACAAAAATACTGCCTTTTCAAACGGTTTTAGATATAAAATACCTACTCGTTGAAAAAAAAAAAATCTTTAGTGTACACTAATTGAATTTTTCGAAAGGGACGTCATAATAAATTGTCAGCGTTTTTTCACAATCAAAAGTCTCGTCAATGACATTTAAAAACGGACTAGATGTTCACCTACTGAGAATCTATTTTTTATTTTAACCGTTTTATCTCTGAAATTGTGATTGTTCAGGTACGCAACAAATACTCGTAATATTAATATTATATGAAAACGGAACGGCTTTAAATTTATTTGAAAGAGAAATTTGAATCTCGTCTATTCGCCCGTACCGGACACATTTTAAATACCGGGCTTGTTACGTCCGTCTGATATAACGCTGGCGAGCACTCGTTCAGCGCACAAAAACGTCAAATCAAAATCGAATGAATTAAAAACCGAGAAATTCGCCGGCGATCGTACGATTTTTATCGATTAATTTAAGTTCTCACAGCCATACGTTTTAAGATTAATCTAATCATTTTTTTTTTTTTCGGACGAAGCATTATAGAAAACCTGGAAGACAAAATTATTATTGCGAAGTATATTACACAGAGTATGCGGCGAGAAGACGCGATAGTCTCGGCAAAAGGCCTACGTGGCATAAATTGAGAATAGCAAAAAAAAAAAAAATCCAATCATCTAATATGTTTCGTGCGGTGCCTGCAGCACATCATACTTAAACCACACACACACACACACACTTAAATCATTATCTACAAAATACAGAGTGTTCCGCGAAGTTCTGACAAACGCAATAACTTTTATAACAAGCAAATTTTTTTTTTTTTTTTGTCCAATAATAATTACTAGATATATGCGCAATGGTTCCCCTAATTTATATTTTATTTAAAACTGAATAATTAATTTTTTTTTTTTTTTTTTAAATAATTGTTTTAAAAAACCAACACGGTTATTCTATGAAGATATTTTTCAATCGATAATTTGGGGTTTACGGACATTTACTAACGACGAGTCTTTAATTTTCTACTATTTTTTTTAAATTTACGAATATTATTTACGTTGCTACCACTAAATAATTTCAATCCGATACAACAATTTGCCCATAAAAAAATGTCTGTTAGTAATTTTTGTGAACTTCAAAATACTGTGGAAACTTAACGATTCGTCATTAGTAAATATTTCCAACGCTAAAATTATTTTCAAGATATATATTTAAAAAATAGTAGTTATCCTGGATTTTGTACAGACAATTTTTTTTTAAATTTAATTTTTAAAAAATATATAATAGAGGAAGACACTAGTAATATTTATAATATTACGAGAATAAAACTTAAAAACATCGAACAAAACCAAAAGTGTTGCATTTTTCAGATCTCGGTTAAACACCCTGTATAACGTACCTAGTACATAAAAATGTTTTTCATTTTTTTATGAAACCCGTTTTTAAATTCCACGCGTTTTCCAAATATTATTTGCGGTTCGAATATTATAAGCGCGGTATTTGGCATATCTGCGTAAAACACGTTGGCGTGAGGAGAAAAAAATGGAACTATGCACCCAAAAATAATTTACGAAATTATTTTTTCCGGTTTAATAGCATTCAGGTTTGGGAGGTTTTTTTTTCTACGACCACCGATACGTGTATACTTACGTCATCGTTAACGGCACATCATTACTATACAATATTATGTAGATGGCATTATCGTAGGTGGAACAATAACGGAACTTGGAGGGTTTATAGTTCAAAATATTCCCACTTTCCCCCTCAAAATACTGTTTTTCGGGTAAAAATAATTGTAGAGATTTGAAATTTTTACAAAATACTAAGACTTAGTTATTTATTTTTTTTTCATCGTAAACCATTTGTGTACTCCTGCATAAAATATACATTACACTACGTATCAACGAAAAAAAATATGGTTTTTTATGCATCGCTAACATTCGATTTATTACGAAATCGTGCAAAATCAATCGTATGGTTTTGTTCGAAACATCATCCGTCCTTCTCGGTTTATTGGACAACCGCATGCCGCACATCATTTAAAGCGACACGATTGTGTATTCCTCGGCTACGTATCTAACGAAAAACTCATACGTACAGGGATGATTTTTCTGTATTAAGAATTATTTGAATTAAATTTTACGAGAATTTCTCGGAATCGTATTTTAGATATTTTTCAAAAAGTATTTTCTATTTACGGACATTTGACATTTTTGAGTTTATTTTTTGTTCGGTATTACGTGGAAAAATGTATTCAGCCGAACGGAAATACTTCACAATTTAACGCGAGATACGTTATAAGTTGTGAAAAAAAAAAAAAAGTCGAGCGTAATGTAATATTTTTTTTATTCAAATTTTTTTTCGAAAATCGCAAAAAAATTATACGACATTTCGAAATAAATTTAACCGGACTTCGCCCGGAATCGTATTTCGTCAGCGGCGATCTATCGTCACGTACACAAACGCAAATTAATCAATCACAACAGTCCAATAGAACGTGTAATATTATTATTTAGCGGGTTCGCACTCACCCCGTACGCCGTGATTTGTATACTGTACTTTTGCGAGTGTGCTCGCCGGAAGCTGTCGTGGACCCACCGTCGGCGTATCACCGTAGCACCGTACACGTAAACATAATATTTTTATTTTAATGTATTTATTTATTTTTTTTCCAAACCGTCGACCGGATACCGCAAAAAACAAAAAAAAAAAACAAAATCGCACTGTTTATCACACGACCGAAAAGCGCACAGTATAACGTACGAATTAAACGTCTTCCGCGACCCGAGAGCGTCGAGTTACAACATCCGACACGGTGGTGCGTCGTGGCGCTACTGCGGAATGAACACGCCGTTGTCTTCCCTTCGGGCCCGGCGCGCACGTTACAGGGACTACGCGTTTCACTGATAAACCCCCGGAGACGGCAATAGGCGAAATATATTATTATGTTTTTTTTTTTATTATTATTTAATGTTTTAGAAAAAATCTATTTAAACAAATTACCGTTTAATCTTGTCACCGGGTACCGGCGGTAACGGTGCAATATTCTTTCGCAGGCACCTATCGCCGATTTTTGTGGGGGGAGGGGGGGCGTTCGGAATAAACTCCGTCAACGCTCGGGTCGGAAAAATGCAACAAGGGAGAATATGAGTCTTTAGAAAACAAAAATGCCATCGAATTAGCGTCCTTTGCAATACACGCTTCACCGTCTCTGTTTTGACTAACGAGCGATACGACACAATTACCTGCACCGAACATAAGCGTGAAATTAGAGGTCTTACGCAATTTGCAACATTTAAATTGGAGAATATTTTTGAGGGCAGAACCCGTTGGCATTTTTCTAAAATATTGTCAAACAAAAAAGTTACAACCACATGAAAAAAAAAAAATTTAAAAAAAAAAATGAACGGCTTGGGCTGTAATTTTTGCACTAACAACATTGGCAATCTGTTTAATAGTGATGTGACATAAATCGGAATTATTCAAAAATTTTAATTTCGGATTTCAAAATCCAAAAATACGGATTACGGTTCTAAATATTCCAATATCTAAATCTATTATAATGTATTTTATGCTTTCGTTATAACCATAAAGAATCCAAAGTTTGAACTTTAAATAAATGTTTGATTTCGAATTCCGAAAATCTGGATTGCCAAACTTCGGAAAATCCGTATTTTCCCACCACTAATAGGTGTAAACTGTAAAGATTGTAAATAAATTACACACAATTTTACTATCTTTTTGATAATATATTCTCTTGAAATATTAAACAATTAAAAAGGTATTGACAATCATATAATATAAAGATGTTATATGTTATCTATTAGTTACTTTTATGAAATATTTGAAATAGTTTTACTTTTAGGTAAGCACCTAGGCAACCAAAACTACATTAAAACTTGCGGTTGGTAGTAAAAATAACTCATTGTAATAAGTGTTTACTATGTATATTTTACTACATACTCGTATTATGTTCTCCTATGCATTTTACAGTTTCAGTCATCGTTTATACAAACAAAAAACATCAACGAATATAGGTGAAGGAACAAACATTTACTCATCTCGTAGGTAGATAGGCGAGTAATTACAAAAATTTGATTTCCGCACCGTTCTATGGGTTTTTTTTTTTTAAACGCTGGTGTTGTAAATTAACAAATAACAAGCCCACTTTTCGAAAGCCCACTTTGCGAGCGTGTAAAGTTTCCGGTTTCTAAACGTAGTTTGTACAATTAACCGAAATTCCGTTTACAGTTTTGAATGAATTCCCTAATCCAGTAGGTATACTATGCTTATGTGTAGTTACATAAAATACATAAATACATAAATCCATAAATTATTTTCTTAATATTTAAATAGTTGACGGAAGATTTTTTTTTGAAATTCTCAATGCTCTTGTATTTGCCTACATATTTATTAATATCGGCTAACGTGAGTTTCTATTCAATGCTCGTAATTAAATCAACTTCGAGACATTAGAAAGAATAGAAAGAAAACCATCAAGCACGCTTTTAAAAATGAATGAATATCTTGAAGCAAATCCTCTATGATCTGATCCCGTTAAAACTGAACTCTGTGCATTTCAACTCTGATATAAGGTAGCCAATTGAAAACTTTACTTATTGCTTATGCTGCAATTAACGCCCGATCTCCTGCAATGAAAAGGACTTCACAGAAGCAAGTCAGAATGCTATAGACATAGCCCAGCGTACTGGTCAAATGACTTATGACGCTTCGGCTAACGAAGGTTTGGGTACCGAGCAACTGTACATGTTTTTATATTTCATTGAATTGTTGGAATTTTCGAATCGTTGTTTTTATGTTAATCTAGATTAATTCTGACGGAACCGTATTATAAATTCCATTGTACCATTGCCTGACACGGTGTAAATAAATAAGTGCATAAATAAAATTAACACTACACAGGTAATGTTTAAATACAAATGTTACCAATTCGAATTTATAACAACAATGTTAGGGTCATTACACAGTTATTGCGTTTGTAATATTATACTTATTATAAATTGGGCATAAACCCGTATCGTGTTATAAAATTATGAATGCAGTGACTGATTTACAGTAGGGGCGGGAGCAATGGAGACCATCACGTCCGAATGCACATTTAGCATGATTTCCATCATAGATATGTGTGCCTAATAGATATTTTCAAAATCGCCCTTTCCTCCAGTCACCCGTCTTGCACCGGACGATTCGTTCCTGTATGAATGCAATATTTAAATACACCCTCTTCTAAACTAACTATAGTCAACAACCGTAACTACGTAGGTACCTACTAGTAACTATACGGACGGACTGAAGTACACAATGGAGATACAAGATGTTCTAAACTTGTGTTTATAATTCTAAAAATTAGAATTCTAAGAAATAATTCCATTGTTAATATTGTACATTTTCGATAATATCAACCGCTATATAGGGTCACAGTTTTAACAGTTACGAAGCGAAGTTTTCATAGTAAACAAATAGAACTTTCTCTGGGTAACGGTGTCATTGTTTTTTTTCGATATCAAAAATACAGAAACAAATTGTTATTGAACGCAAATGCGATCTTTTTATTTTATGGTTTAAAAACTCGAACAAGAATTTTCGCATTTAAGACATTAAAAAAACGATATAATACCAAGTGACCGTGTCCACCGTTAGAGGACGCCAGTCATTCGGACCTGTCACAAAAATGTTCCTATAACTAATGCGAGCTGTGTCGACATAATATTTTATTATTATATATTAATTAAGGTTATACACACAGTATTTTAAACTAAGATTATATAAATTATAAATTATTATAATGCAATATTTATCATACTTAAAAATACATTCAAATCAACCTATTAAATTTAATTTGATATTATTCGTAATATTGTTTCGCTTATGACAATAATTTTAATTTATAATCATGCCCAGGCCTGGATTAACTTTCATAAACGAGGTAGGCACGTGTCTAGAAGCTAGGCAATGTCAAGTGCTTTTTTATTTAAAATTATACACAATAGCATCGCAAAATTTAGCGTATTAAAATGATTAATATAATAATTTTAAAATTTAAATCACTCACTCGTTATAAGATAATTGTACAGCTAAACCGTTAGTCTATGTTATAATTATATCATTTAGATAACTATATAATCGGCTATTATAAAATATAGGCCTAGGGCTATAATTGGGTTTAATATAATTATTGCCTCATTATTAATAATCAAATACGAATAATTTATAATTCAATAGTTAAATTACTTATATTTTTTTTAAAAAAATTATTTAAACGACATTAAAAAAAAAATAATATAAAATAATAAATATTAAGTCGTTTTTATGTACGCTACATTTGTATATTATTAATACAGAATAATGTAAACAATTTATTAGAATGTTACTTTCTGAAAAATAATTTTAAAAAAACATTAAAAAAAAAAAAAACATTAGGACAAAATACTACATAAACTTGAATCGTTAGTTATTTATCAAAATATTGAAACCAACATTTAGCTAATATTATTTTATTATGTATTTAAAAAAAAAAATTCAACTTTTCCTATAAAAAAAAAAAAAAAAAAAATCTTTAATAACATTAATTCAAATAGGCGGTGAACGAAAATACTGCAGTCGATTCTCTAACTTTGTAAAACATACTAAAATAACTTCAACAAATCAATTATTTTGTTATTATACAATTTTTCAAGCCGCAATTGACAGGCACGGGCCACGGGTTGTAGTAAAAACATTTGCTCAAATCAGTTTCATAAACCGGAAATATCAGACGGTAGTATGCAATGTGATGCATGGTACATTCAGATCGAACAGCATCTAAATCAAAATACGTTTGTCATTTAAATAAATATTATAGTCGAATACTTGGATTAATTTTCGGTTAAAAAAAAAAAAGGAAAAAAACCAAATTAAAATTACCCGTTGTTCAATTGCATTGAGAATCCAATCGGTCATTCCTTCGGCCGTCCTTTAACCGTTAATCCGTCGAATACGCGGGTTATTATCTATCTACGTCATTGTAGTACAATAATATTACAGCGTATTGCGGGATACGTGATATCGCGTGAAACCGATTAGGAGGGAAAATAATCGTCTTATCGCCGAGTTATTGTTTCGTAACGCGATGCACTAATGTCAAATATCAGCGTAACGATAATATCATTATGTCCAATGATTAATTATTATTAAGCGCCGGAAAAATGTCAACGATCAATCGATAAAATCACTGTAGGTATTCATTTTGTTTGGGTAGTATGACGTATTACGGGTATGGTTCAAATGTAAATTTTAGAACATCATTTCAAATCGTTTTAACAATAAATAGACAGTGTTAAAGTCGTTAACGGCTATATTATATCGTATCGGTATACCTACGAAACATTCACGCGACCGTATCGTAGAGATTGTTTTAATTTAAATAATCATTTTTAACCGGGCAAAATTAAATAGTTTTTATAACGTTGTTTCCATTACGCTTTTTTCTTGTTTGCGGATTTCCAGGCCTCTAAGGACCATACCGTCTCACACCCGATCGCCCATTGCTTCTCTATCACATCGAAAGGCCTAAAATGCATGGCGTTTCTGTAGAGACAAACCTTTCAATTCAATTGATGGCGTCGATAGATTTCCATAACAGTACAAAAATAAAACCCGTGAGGAACGTAGGCCTTTATATTATTTACAAAACAAATTTAAACTCGAAATTGCCGACACAAAATAAATATACAAGTTCGGCAAATTGTATAAGTATAAAACCGTTTAAAATAAATTTCACACTTTATTGTAATTTGTAAACATTTATTGGTTAGGGTGAGATCATTATTTGATTGATTTTTATCAGATTTTGCTTGTGAAAATACACCTTGTAACCACTCTTGGGTGATGGCTTTCACGTGTGCCTTACCATGACGTGGTTTTTCATTCAACCATGACAATACGACTGCCTGTGGATTATATTCCGATACTGATGGCGTTATATTTACTTTTACACTTAAACAATCTTTAATTGTACAAATAGAAACGACCAAGAGTTTTTTAATTTGTCACATTACAAAGTAAACCTAACCGATATTATGGTCTGTGATATTTGTATAACGAATAAGATGCTATCAATCTGAATTGAGATAAAGTTTATTTCTACGGTTATTTCTACAATTAGATACAGATAGGTGCACGTTATAAGACTCGATACGCACATTTTTAATTCACGGGACGTGTTATCTTAGACCCTAATCCATTATATTTTCTTCCCAGTTCGAACCTCCGTCAAGCAATTCCGCATTTTATTAAATTGCCTATCTCTATAGACGTATTTTTCCAGATGCGGGTTCTGCTCCATCGTCGCTTCTATTAGCTTATTAGCTGACTTTTGTAATCACATTATCAGTTATACTGTATCAACTTTCTAACCAGTCGTATTAGAAATACTAGTTGAATTTGTGGTTAACATTCAGGTATCTATACCTATTCACAGTTATTATTTGACCGTAATAATTTATTGTATTCGCTATTAAATAAAAACACACATTATACAAAATCACAATAATTATAATTCGTAAATCTATATTTCACTGTAAAATAAATAAATAAATAAATAATAATGTCTAAGCCGTTTTAATTAGACTGCGAATCGCGTTCACAATAAATAATTAAAAAATATATAATAAACGAGAACATTCCCTAAATACCTAACAATTATAAAAATACAACAATTATAAAAACATAATACATTCTTAGTCGATAGTAAAGCATTACATTTAATTTTGGGTTGTTTATTTTTTTTTTTGGGGGGAGGAGATTTTAAAATAGATACCAATGGTTTTTTTTTTTTTTTTGAGGATTTTTAGTGCGTTTAGTTCTCCGCGTTAGTAAATAAGACTGTACCGCGGTTATTTTTTTACGTTTTATACTGAAAACTTACGAAATTACGGTCGAACGGTTCGTCACGATTGATAAATAGTGTTATCAACGGGCGTTCCTTTTACCTTGTATATGTACAGCTGGTACACTCGCGGGGCGTAGGGAATTTATATAGAAAAATAAAAATAAAATAAAGAACAGTCAACGAAATATAAAAATAAAAAAATAAATAAATATGAAAAAGAAAAATGACGACGGTAAATCCCCTGTTGTTTCGTTCACACAAAATAATAATAATAATATAACGGTTGACAATTTTACAGTTCGTGATTGATATCGATTTAGAAAATTACCGATCGCACCGGGTACTGTAATAGTATTTATCGGCCGTGGTCGTGTAGAAGTGAGAAATACTTTTTTTTCCGTTACAAGCTATAAACCTACACACATTTTATTGTTGTTTTTTTTATTATATATAAATTAATATTGCATTATATTATTATCAATGTCTTATAGATATAACGCATTGTTTATTTATGTTTTATCGGAGGAACTAAGTTTTTTCGATAACGATAAACGCAAGAATAAACACCGTGATATTTCGTGATTTTCAAGTTTTACGTCATCGGCGTATTTAAAAAAAAATAAAAAAATATGTTTGATCACAGACCGCGATGATTCGGATCTGTGAAATATTGATAGACAGAGGTTGCTGGAAGATCCAGTCTGCATAATTTTAGTGCGTTTACATAATATGCCCGCGTTAAACGTTATCGGCATTGATTACGAATAAAACGGACTCGGCTCTATCTTCCAGCAAACTCTCTAGCAATAACAATTATATTGTAATGGAGTAAAGAAAACTACGATAGCTCTGGACAACGCGAATGGGCAGCGACTACGACGATTTGGAGTCATCACTGGACGACGGGTTTTGACCAAGCGCCGTGTCGATCACCACCTGCTTGGCTTTTTCTCCGTTACATCTGAAAGAACGTAAATCAAATATTAGGTACAATTTTTGATACGCGGACAAAATATATTTCCGGGGTTTTTGGAATAGAGTCCTATAATTGAGTAGGTATTCTACAATTATTGACTTCTACCGAAACGTATTTAACAAAAAAAAAAAAAAAAAATCCTGATTTACAATAAAAATCACTTTTTTTTTGACAAATACGATGTTTGACATTTTTAACAACCATTTCATGATAATATGTGTAACGTCCTATATATATATAGTATTATGTTGCCGAAAAATAACAACGTATAGATTTCAATAATTCATATCGTGTACCAACAAATATTTTAATTATTTTCAAGTTAATTCCTGTAAGATTTCAAATTTCAAATATTTATATCATGACTATACTTAAAATGTTTTCAAACTAGCCTCATGGTGTTAAATATCAATTCAAGAAAGCCTAAATTTATTAAATTCTGAGCGTAATGATTTTACTATAATGTGTGATTTCATTTTTTTTCTGTCTGTAAACAACTTTTCTACTTTTCAACATTTACTTCAGGGGTTAATTTTGGAAGACAATTGTATCTAATTTATGCATTGAAAAGGAAATGGTTTGATTTTCCTTGTAGTTTTCTTAGTAATTTTAAAAACAGTAATATTTACAGAATAACGGTTTCTGTTATTTTTTAAATTCGTTTTTTGTTGTAATTTAATTAGAAATAATGATAAACCTAAAATGTTTACTTTAAATTCATAAACAGTTTCTAGACGACTTTTAAAAACATTCAGGCAACTATTTATTATACTAATTTATACTAACAGTAGCATACCCATGGTGTAAAGTATGTTCGCCTTTTTTCTTTAAAACTGTATTACAATAATGTGATTACAGACTATAAACACTCATAAACTTCAAAGTTCCTATCAAAATTGCGTTTCAAATAGCCATCAAATTGAATAAAACATTATTTCTATGGGTTATGCTCGTGGGTTTGTATAAATGTTTTAGATTGACAATTAACTGGTTTTAATAAAAAATTCAATCAGTATACATTTTTATATTAAGAGGCCTAAGAGTTTAAAAAACGTAAAAATGGTAATATTAAAATTCTAAAAATAAAGTTTCGAAATATAATTTTTTTAAACCCACGTACAACGCGTCCTGTAAATTATCCCCTTTCTAACAGACAATTGTAAAAGACAATTGAAATCGGTTCACTTAAAGATGCATGAAGATTTTTCCTAAATGGTTTCGACAAAAAAAAAAACCTAAAAACAAATATTAAACCAATATATTTTAATACTCGATAAATTTTTTTCATTTTCCAGCAAACTTTTAGGTTGTAAAATGTGAGTTTAACAATTGCGTCGTTTAATATTAATACATTGCAAACAGAACGTGTTCTTTAAAAACGAATCGTAAATTATATTGCAACAACTGCAATCAATTAACTTAAGTATTAAGCGAATTAATTAATTATTTAGCCTTAATTTACCGCATGTTACCTTACTTGGCTCCAAATCGTTACACAGTGTAGGTAGGTTACTAAATGGAAACGCGGGACAAGAAACGTTCCATCCCATTTCCAGTAAACCACAAACTTAATTACACGCCTTATTTTCGATTCGCAAAAGTTAAATTGCGTAATTAATATACTTGACCCACCGGCAATCCGGCCGTTTAGTAAGCAACAGTCAAAAGACCTGCGGTATTCTTGCCAAAAGAAAAAACAACAAATCAGGGTTAATAACATTCATCGTACACAAATGCCTACGTCATTAATCAACCGAGGGAAACCTATAGCATGCACACATTCATACACACGCATTATATATTAATATTAGGTACGCGAGACACAACAACGTAATATTATTATGGTTAGGGAGTAAATATTTAAACCTAATTGCGGAACAGCAATACAAGAAATTTAACTAATGTTAAACAATCGTATACAGAGTGGTCAATCCTCGGTAAGCCGCTCATGATCGCGGAAAGTAATAACTTTTTACGAAATTTCTCTTTTAGAACATTTAATGAACAAGTAACTCTAGAATGTTACGTTACCATTATTTTTTGTCACCCTCAAAAGCAGGTAGTACTTCTGATTTTCAACTAGCAACCAATAATAAAAAGACGAAATATTAATTTGTATACATTTACATTGGTGTTGAAAGTTTTGTCAACCATAAAACCGTTAACGAATTATTCCACTTTTGCCGTGCCGCCACAAAAATGTTACTCCACTTCTCTCTCCCTACCCGAAACATAAAAATAAAATATCTCGTCAATGGTTTGATGGAAATCAAAAATTTCAACACCGAAATTAATTTAAACTAATATTTCATCTATTGATGGAATTTTCAATATAGTTTGCCATTTGAAAATCATAAGCGGACAATCCTTTCACCCATAATATTTATAAGAGTGACAAAAAATATAATAGGAATTTTACATTTTAGAGTTGCTTGTTTCTAAAAAAAATTCCGAAAAAAGTAAATACTTTCCGTAATAATGAGTGTCTTATTGCGGAGTGAACAGCCCGTATATTAACGATATGACATATAAATTAAGGTAAAATGAGTATATAAAATTATGATTAAAAAAAAACTGGATTAGTGGTCGGATTAAAATTTTTTTTTCATGTGGAAATATTTTACAACAAAATATACCTAGTCCTTCAAAAAATATGGCTTCGACAAAACTATAATCGTTTCAAAAACGCGTAGAACAACCAGTTAAAATCATTAAATCATTAAAATCATTAAAATCATTCAATACGAACGGCCACAAATGAACGAAATTCACACATCAATACCTTGATATAAACTTCCAAATTCTCAAAGATGATTCTTTCTTCTTTTCCTGGTGATAGTTATACGTAATATACATAAATTGTAAAAATATTTATCAAAATATTGTGTGAGACTGTCTACAGTTAAAAAGATATCGGAACAAATTGTATACAATTTACTAATTGTTTAGTATTACTAAAAATATATTAATAACATTCCACAGATATTATAGCTATTCAAAAAAAAAAAAAATTGGGAATAATGCTTTTCTAGATAGGACAGAGTGAAAATATTAGTTAATTTTGGACGAAATTGTCCATTATTAAAGCCTATAAGACAGTAAAAGTGTTCTAAAAATGTCATACAACCTTCTAATGAGTTTAAATTGGTCATACCTTAATACGTAATACAGATGTATGGTTTTTTTTTCCAACACACGCAGTCAATTTTGAAAAAATAATTAAACTATCATGGAAGAAAATAGTGAAAAACAAACTAATTTCGATCGAAGTAAATATTTTTTTATATCTTTAAACTCAGCGAAGTAACAGTAAAAGACTTCAACGTTCAATTAATAAACGATTTTAAATATATGTAGCGATTTAGCAATGTAAACCATTTACGGAGTTTTTAGATTCTGAGAGTAGGAAAGAAGCTATCAGTTTTATTAAGACGGGTGTGTGTTCTTTTTTCTCGGAAAACATTTCGTTTTAGTAAAAGTAGATAAGTATTCCAATTTTCTGTGTTTTGCCATGGAAGATATTTTCCAGATTGTGCTAAATTTAAAAAAAAAAATGTCTAGATTCCTCGGAGTTTTTTTATGAAATGTAAAAACCCGACAACAAATGTCATTACATTGGTTTTATTTTTGTTGGTTTTTGAGTAATCACTTATCTAGGCTACCCAAGAGGAAAAAATCCTACTAATAGTACTCCGTTCAGAATCGTTTTTTGATTTAAACGATTTATCGTTTTTTTTTTTCAATATATAAACTACGCGATGACCTTCCCACTCACTACAGTGACCTACCCATAGTGTACGTCTGGTTTTTTTTCTTCTCTGTGTTTGTATTAATTTTATAATTATAGTTTGCTTACATTTGAAAACTGCAAGCACTTATTCTAAAAGTTTTGTAAATTAAAAATTATATTAATTTGTAAAAAAAGAAAAATATTTCGGGAAAATTAAAATGTATAAAATATAATTTCATATTAATTTCTTTCGTTCTACCTTTATTAGAATTATAAATATTATTATCTTGTCAGCGCTTAAAAATTACAAATATGAAGTTGACACATTAATTATAACTATATTAACTACGAACGATTTTAATTCGAAATCTTTTGTAAATGCATTTAAAAACTATACAATAGGTATACTGCAATGAATTTAGTTTCGGTCCATTTAGTAAAAAGTCAGTTCGTGACCGTAATATAGAAACAACGAGCAGTCTTAAAAACTAAGAGCAATTAGAAATCGATTTTTATGTAGGACGATTCGATTTTGATTCACCAATAAAATATAATTTTTTAAGAAAGCAATCATTTCTAAAATATACGATGACCAGAATAAATTATATACAAACAGTAATTATTATTATTCCAATACTGAAATAATGCTAAGTAATATATAGTTATATACTAACAGTATTGTCGTGTGATGATTTAAATTTGTTTTTAAACATATTATTATTGGAATGGTTATATTCGTAAAGTGTACGTTCGCAAAAGTGCCATAAAGGTATTTACCGATCACTTTTATCTCAAGAATCTTTGTTTTGACGTGTATTCAACTTGAAAATTCAATGATAAATCACTTTAAACTATACTACCTGCGGCTATCTATTGGCATTACTTTTAGTGCAGGATTTCAACATTTTTTTTTCGATTTTAGACTCGGTATCCGTAGCTTCTAGACCCACATATACATTCTTATTCTTCCTCCCTTACTCCTTAATCGTGCATACCTTCTCGACTGTCCCATATCGTTTCTCCTGCGCCTCAGACCCGCATAATGTCACCGTCGTTAACTTCGCAACATTTACATAAAATTTCCCTACTCCCCTATACTAATAAAATGAAATATCATAATACGTCAGGCGCTATTACCGATGTAAAAATATAGAAACCGTTTATAATTGAAAAAAAAAAACCGGTAAAATAAGTAATTTATTTATCCGATACGTATCTGTATTAAGCGATAATATTTTTAAACGTATTATTTTAACGGAAATCGCGGTGTTTTGTTTGATCTCGTTACGAGCGATTTCAAATGTTTTACACGATATTAAAATAATAATATACCCGCACAAATTTGTATATTATTATTTTAATGAACCATGTTAATACGATTTAATTAGAAAGAGCTTTTCGGTTATTTTCAAATACACTTACAACTGTTTGTCGTCGTAATTAAATCCAAACCTATGGCTTTTATATACAAAGCGTTTCACGAGGATTTAATATTTTAAAGTGGCGAGACGTTCATATTATTATTACTCTCGTTGTATTATTTTACAAATAGTAATTACCATCCTATACATACCTACGCTCGCGACCGAATCGTATTAATAAATAACGTATACCAGGTACCCTTGAGATACCACTTGAGATATTTCGTTGGTGTTTATTTGAAAAACTAATTTTCACCCGACAACTAACAGCATTTTGTAATTATAGTAGGTATGTATTGATACAGTAAGTAGGTAAACATATTTATAGTAATTTATTTCGCTTTGCAGACAATTTAAACCTTTAGCTGTTAAAACTATACGATTTTTCCATATTTCTCTATTCCTATATTAGTATATGCTATGCTCCAGTTCATCTCTCTTCGAGAATGAGTGAACTCAATTACAAGTTAATTCTCGAACCCTACGACCCTTTGCTCACAAGTCTTTTCGGTGTATAGTCCGCTAGACGTCCACGTCCAGCCCATTCCAGCCTTACATTACAGGACTGGACTAGGTCACCGGGACACCGAGAAATCTCCGAGTAAGCCTCAATAAAAATGAGTTAGGCAAATCTGGTAAGGTCAGTTGGGATAAGTGAATAACCGTAATAGGTGACTTAATGAGTCTCATTTAACACAAGATAATTTAGATTATGATTTAGCGGTTCCGTTAAGTTCCTGAAAAATAGTTTCGAAAAATTGGCAATAAGCCGTCTGGGATTGCTGTACGCTATTGAGGTGCATTTAATATGCCGTCAAGAATTGCATTAGGTTATTTTAGAGGGCCTGTAATATTATAATGTCAAAGGAGGTAGGACGTAAACTATCGTTTGGACGTAATTATCTGTTAGTGAGGACACTTCCGAGAGAAAATATTAACAATAGAAAGCAATAACCTGAATTGGGCCGCTGTGCAACTTTTAGGGCCGGTAGAATAAATATTTCCCGGGCTGTCATTATAAGATAGTCCAACCCTGTTTATAAATTCTTTACAAATCTAGACGACGTTTTCCCCTATGCGCAATTCGTTAATCTGAGGAGTTCGATAATCGTTTATTATTTTAACTCATTATAAAATCCGTAACGACTTAGTTATATGATACACTTTGATAAGACTTATCAAAAATGAAGGCATGACAATTTATCCGCGTTTCTTATTGACGGTATTTTTTTTTCCAATCCGATAAGCTTGATAAAAAATGTGTTATCTTTTTTTTCCCCTTTTCGTTTTGCAAAGTGTTCTCGCATAAATTCGTCATTCGATTATTTGTTACAGCAATCATTTCGGTTTATAAAATCGCGGCCAGGTATTATTAGGCATATTATTACATTACAGTGACCGCGAAAATTCGGCAATGTGCACGGCTAGTTTTTACACAAATAACCTGCATACACAGGAGTAGTTAGAGTATAACATATATTATATCATTGCGATTTGTTCGGTCGTCTCGTGTTATACGGTAGGACAGAAACGTATAAATAATAATTTAATTACGGTTTATTACTAAACGAAAAAATAATAATACCGTGCGTACAATAAAACGTCGTTTTGTATACTATATACATTATAATACAGGGACATGCACGAGATGATATTGTTGTATACGTATTTATGACACACGGGTATACGGCGCTGTCGGTGTGTAGTCAGTGGATCGCGCGGAGAGAGTACCCGATGCCTGCAAAACGATTTGCTCTATTTCCTTTCGATTTTGCTCGACGGCGGCAATAATACTGCGCCGGACCCAGTCGATCGCGTTAACCTTGCTGGCCCGCGAAGGAAAATACAGTATCATCACGACCCCGATGACAGAGATTCGCTCGGTAAGCAGGCAAACAAATAATAATTTATTGCCCGGCGGATAACTGACTGCAGTGTGTGTTATATGGATTATCGGAAACGCTCTGATTGAGTATTCTCGATTCGTATAATAATAAAGAATATTCGACGATGTGTTGTAATTGCTGGTTCGTCGGTCGTCCACGACTGCAGTGCTCATCGTCCTATTCCCGGCTAACCAATATAATATTATGCATAATCGTTTGTAATGGCGATGTATTATTGCAATGTCAAATAGTAATTGTCCAATTTATGAAAGAAAATAAAAAACATTCGTTTTCAAAATTAATCGTAAGCGAATTAATATTGACAAAGGAAAAATTCGATACACCTACGTATCAGGAAATGTTATTATATGAGCGTGACATAGGCATTGCCGCAGTTCAATAAAATAAAACACTTTGGTAAGCGGATAGTAATTCAAACCGGTTTCCAATGCATTATTTAAATGCAGTCGTCAGCATTTACAGCGTTGCAGCCGTCGGATCGTCACATAATAATATTATAATTTATAGTAATCGCATTGAACGGTGTCTCATAAAAAAAAAACACACCACTTAAATTCCTGATATTATCTTCTCCTTCTCGTACGATATTCTTCTACCGGCCACACAACGAACACTGACTATAATACGCATTTTATCATCAACTATTTCTCTTCGCGGTTTTCAACTCACAAACTTTATAAAAAAAAAAAAACCCTCGGAAAATCAAAAAATTACCTCACTGTACCAATGTACCGACTATAGTCAATTACCTTTCAGAAAAGGTGCTATAATCTATACTTCGGAGCAAGTTTTCTGACAGAAAATTTCTTCACAGACAGAAAAAAATGAAAAAAAAAAACACATAGTAAAATCAAACAAATTACAGACTTATAAATCGAGACTAAACAATATTACGAATGACCGAGGCGTATTTTACGATATATTAAGGGCAATGAGGAACGTCCAGTAATATTAGGTACGTGTTGTACCAAGATTTGCGTTGATAAATTTCAAGCAAAACACGTTCAAACAATAATCATTGAAAACAGCTGCTATATAGTCCTTATAACTTTTAAACAACTTTTAAACAACTTAACCGTTCGAAATCGAAATGGTTTAAAGGAAATATTCGGATTTTGTGTTTAAATAGTATATAATATGTTGCGGTAAATGTTGCGAAATCGGTTAATGTTGTTAGGTGTGTTTACATACTGACCTATGTTGTGCCGTCAATTTTAATGTTAGAGTATAATGTTGGACTGTTATCAAACTTAAAATATTGTTTGTATTTACACGTAGGTTTTATTTTTTTTTTCGATATTTAAATTTTTAAACGAGACAGAATGATTTTAAAGTTTTATATATTCGTAACTAGCTTGAAAATTAAAATATCGAAAAAAAAACCTAAATTATAAAATACATAGACAACGTATTGGATTGAAAATCGACGGATGCGCCCTAATGTTAAAACTAACAGCACACAATTGGTTTTCATCTACAATGAAGTATAAATATAACGACATAAACCGATTTTACAACGTTTACCGTAGCGTATACGTCATATTGTATTGCTGGTACGGTGCGTATAACAATGGTCGAGAGGAAAAATAAAATTTTCTAAAAAAAAAAAATAACCCCCATATGTATTAGAAATTAAGAGAAAAATCTAGTATATTACGAGTAGTGAGTGATCATTATCCATATTATAAAATCACGACCTTGAATCGGAATTAAACTGAAACGAGATTCAATGGCAATGTGACGGTCCCGTCGATTTCTCGAACTGATGGTAATTCTATCGGTCTGTCTATAGTTTTGCTGGGTCGAACGAGATTCGGAATCATAAATTATTATTGTAACCGTTTGATTTCAGATGAGTATAGTATTTTTTTATACGGCTTTCAAAGATTCGATCCGACGGATCGCCTCCGCCGTTATTTTTTTTTTTTTTCTTAACTGTTTACAATTCTACAAAACACATTTTCAGCGTTTATTTTCGGCGTTTTTTTTTTTTTTTTTTTAATTATTAATCATTTTTATAAAATATTTATTAGTTTATGTTTTTACACGAGTTATTTTAACGTAGAAAATCGTCCACCTATATATTATTATAATGCAAAAGCTAAATAAACGACGACGACGAAATATACGTATTAAATTATTTGCTAAAACAACATTTTATCGCTAAGGGCCATACATACGCATTAATATTTAACTCTGTTGTTTTTAATCATTGTTGATAAAATGTAACGCGGCGCGCTCGCGCAATAACGCAATTAATGCAAATTTTATTTGCAATAATATAATATGAAGTGTATACCGAAACAATGTTTAACCCGAACCTTCAACATATCAACAATACCGACAACATATTGTCACTGCCCTTACGGGGCTTGAAATTTCGAATAATTGTCGAACAATGGTGTAATAAACGGTTTACGAAAATATTGTTCGATTTAGATACCGTGCGAGGTAAGTCGAGCGTTCCGGTTATCGGTATATATTTTATATAAACGAAAATAAATATTTATTTCACGAAGAAAACGCGCGTTTCGGACGGGATAAAAGCGATGTGAATGTTTTATGCGTACGCGGATGACTTTATGGCTGATAGGATCGAATAAAACCCAAATAGTATTTTAGACGTCGCGTAATTTTTTGTCAAATTCTCCGATATCTCGGATGAAGCGAATTGAAACGGGTATGTCGTCAGAAAAACCATAAATATAACCGACATGGTATACTATTATATTTTTAGTTTTTTATTGGATTTTTTTCCCCCTCTTGAACTTCAAAAGAACCGTTTACCTGATCTCCGGGAAAATAACATAATATATTACGCGGGATCGACGGATCAAAAGTTTTATTGCGTCCATATTGGTGCAGCGGTTTTATCGTATTCCTTAGGGAGCGCGAGGTAGCGAATTTAAATGTCTTTTGGCATATTCAAACTGATATTGCGACGAACAACATTTCAACGTTTCAGCATGAAAAATTCCATAAATACATTGCGAAATGACGTAGATACTTACATTTTAACAAGTATAACATATTTACATGTAAAATTATTAATATAAACTAATCCTGGCTATGTGCCACGAAATATAACAGGAAAACGAATAGTACGTATGAAAAAAATTATCAACGGAATAAACCGGTACCGAATTTGTTATCCTATACACAAACAAATTCAACATTCGACATTAAAATCAAAGGTTATTTTAAGAAAAAATAATTAAATAGATTGTTTGAAACCTTTGACAGTACTATACATTATAATATTACGTTCTTGGAAATTGGATGTAACGGCGTCGAACGAAAAGCGAATCATTGAAGAAAAATTTAAAATCCATGGCACAGTTTTTCAGTGTAAAAAATATTAAAAAAAAAAAATAATAAACGATAGATCTCAAAAGACATCCCAATAGATTTTGGAATAATTTAAATTAAATTGTATTTAAAATAGTGTGATTATAGTGATAGGTATCACGAGTACAACCCCACCAAAGATTTTTTTTGTTACAAGTAAGGTTAAAAGGTTATAGATCCCTAAAACCTTAACCCCCTAAATCCACTTATTGATAAATCCCAGCCAGGCCACTGAGTATCGTAACAAAAACGATAATAAGATTATAACGATTATTATTCGAATAAATAAATATTTCGAGCGAATTGAATTGAAATTTAAAATTATTAAAACAGGTAACAAGATGAACTATAATAGACTATAATATACAATTTGTTCAATATCGCAATGAATCGTTGGAATTATTAACAATGTTTTTTTTCGTTCGTGATAAACTATTGTTGGTATTAAGGGGCCCGGTGTCAACGCGTTGTTTTGGATCAAAAACATACCTTACCGGAAAAACTGTACAATAGTCTGATTTCAGATAATTTTAGTTCTGATTTTAAATATGGCATCCGTTTTTCACGAACAACTCTAGCTTTTGAGTTTCGGCGTGGGTAAATTACGATCTATTACTAAGGTATATAGCAGAAACTCAATTACCCGACATTTCGTTTTACGTTATCGTTAAAAAAAAAAAAAAAGCAACCGTGTGTAATACATAGTCAAGTGTATACAAATTTAAAATAGATTGGAATATCCAATATACGCAATAAATGCAACGTGAACGGATTTAATTTCTTTTAATTTAATTTTTAATGAAACAGTTCATGAAAGCTCTTGACCACTATAGTCCTCGCTTTGCATATACAGAACAAAAAATCCCTGGATTAATTTCAGAAAAACTGAAAGCTGGAATTTTGGACGGTCCTCAAATCAGACAGCTCAAAAATGATACCGATTTTGTCCATTCTATGAATATGACAGAACACAAAACGTGGATGGCACATTAGTTCTTATTGTCTAGAAATTTCTGGGAAACCACAAAACTGAAAACTATATTGAATTAGTGGAAACGAAGCTTAGCAACTTCCGAGAATTGGCTTGCAATATGAGTACAAAGGTTCATTACATACACAGCCATCTGGAAAATCTTGGTGATACCAGAAAAGAACAAGGTGAACGATTTCACCAGAATCTAAAATAATTTTATTCTAAAAATAATGAAAAATACCAAGGTAGATGGCATATTTATATGATAACAGATTAGTGTTGGAATCTGCAAAGGCAATGGGTGAACATAGTACACTCAAGAATTTCGACAGAAGAACATTTTACAGTTGAACAAAATTACTTTTTCTTTTGTTTTAATGATTCTGCACATAAATTGTTCATTTTAAACTATTATATATTTGCAGGTATGTTGTTCATTTTTTCAATTTACTGAAATACTTTACACAATTTATTAATACGAAATTATTTTTTAATCAAGACCCATACCTTTCGTCAAATTTACGTGTTAATGTATATCATTATGCTACTGCCGTGACTTAAAAGCAACAGGTGATGGGCGAAAACTGACGTCATGTTCGATTTCAGCACACGAGACGCACAGAAAATCTGTTTAAAAATGCCCAACACCAAAATATGTGTTGGGCTGTGTGATTTTTTGTTTTAGGTTACTGTGCGCAGATCACATTGAACTCGGTTTTTCAACAATTTCATTTAGAATTGTATAATGCGTATTTTTTTTTTAAATAAAAGATACATTTTTAACTTTTTTTTTTATTAATTTTGTCATACCATTGTTTAAAATCAAATAAAATATCGGGAGTTCAATGTAGTACGTACAGAATGTTATTGTATACGTATAAACTAAAAACAAAAGAAATGATAGGAAAATATGTTGACTATGAGTTATCCCTATTCCCGCTAAGTCATTTCCTTCCGAAATACGGCCGTGCCCCTTCCCCCTAAATAGACAGTAGATTAGTGAAGTAGATTGTTTTTTTTTTTTCTTTAATTGTGCTATTATTTTCAAAAATGATTTCTTGTAATTTTCCACATACTTCACTCGGGTATTGTACGAAAGTGAAATTAACGTCGTCAATGCTAACGACATCCGTTCGGCTACTGTCTCACGAAAACGCTGTTTCCGTTTGTCGGGGAAAATTATAGAAACCATATAATATATTATTAACCATATCAAAATCACATGAGTGCAAAAATGTTTTACTGTGTCAACACACGATAGACCGTGATTTTTTATTTCCGTCAACTATTCTATGCCCTGCAGACTAAACATGTAATAATATAAGTAATAAAATGATCAAATAATTATTTTGGTCGATGTTTAGGATTTTGCGCGGATGGTCTCGTTGATAAATACGAAAAACAATATTGCACGCATTTCCGAAGTCATGCATCAGAAGAACCAAAATTCGAAATGTTTTTTTCGTCTATTGTTCTCAGACTAATATATATATTTATCTATAGTCATGTGAAATATCCGCATCGGTTATCACGCATACTTCCAAAACTTTCAAACCTTTTAAAACTGTTGAAGCAGGTACGTACTAAAACACGTGTGAGTGTTTATATTTTCTTCTATTTTTTCGTTTCTGAACATACTACAACAGTTACAAAACGGTTCTGAGCGGAGTTCGATGCAATATATATTTTTTTATGTTTTTGCTACATTAAATGTATAATTGTAACGATATTTCCCAGTTATCAGAAAAAAAAAAAAAAAATACAACAAATTTTCATAAATTTAAGCAGTCGTTGTAAAATCAACACGGCCCTCAGACTGCTCACAATCTGAAATAGAATAACATTTTACCGGTCTCGTCGTTCTGTACGGATAAACGGGAAAATAACGATTTCTAGGGTATTGAGCTTCAAACGCACACACTGGTTTCCATCGAATAAACCGATATAAGTCGGCTTATAGGTTAGCTAACAAAACAAAAACAATTATGTAGCACGCGGTTGTTTCGCACCACGGACGTTGTCGAGTTTTGTCAAGCTGCTGCAGCCAACGTCAATTACGAAGAATTTTATTCATCCGAAACTGGAACGATCTGCACTGGTCTATACCCACGTAGGAAAGTTTTCGGTCAAATAAACATTTCCTTTTTTTTTTTTTCTTCTTCTGTATAGTAATAATTGTGAAACAAACTAGACAGAATTGGCCTCAGTCAAGTCTAGGCGGTACACGCAAACAGTTCGTAAGTATATAGGTATAGCGTCGTTTTTTAACACGTATTTACTATTTTTTAGATGCCAAAATAATCTACGCCGATACCTAAATAATTGAGTTCGAAAAAAAAATAAAATACCCAGTGAAGCCTCCGCATTGAATAGCTGACAATTTGAATAGAAATATGTTATCCGTTATAATCTACAGGTAGGTATTTGCTATAAAGATGGTTCAATGAACATGCGATATAATAATATTATAATATTGTGTAGGTATACTCTATAGAACGATTTTCGTGCGAGTACACGAGAATCGAATTATATCCTTGGAAATTGGAATGCATTGTCGTAGAGCACCCAAAAAAAAAAAAAGAAATTATAATAATAAATAAAACGATTGACAATATTAGTTCGGATGGAAAATACCCATAAAACCTATAAAAGACTACGAAAACAGAATTTCTCGAGATAACATTTCGAGTTGATTAATTTCACAAACAGTAAAAATTACTCCAATTGAGATAGTAAAATATTCTATGGCCCTCGTATCGACACCCACACGGGAGTATAGTGAAAAACATAAACTCGAAGAACTGTTCCAAAGACGGGATATCGCAAAAAAGATTTTTAAAAATAGTGGCTTACAACGGCATAGCACGTGTGGCGGAAAGTAGGTCCCATTGTTAGAACAACCGTTGAGGAAAACCCGACTGGCAAGAGGCATGCACTGTGAAAACAACGACTTTGTAGGAAAGATTGTGGGAAAGTGGGCGTGGGAAGGATTCGACCAGATGCGCCGTGGAGGATAGCTGCGGCAAATAGGGATGGACGGTGAGTATTTTACTTGGCAGTGTGGTCCTAATGACCGAGAGCCCGGAAAAAAAAAAAAAAAAAAAAACACTATTACAGTTTGATGCAATGATGCCTAATAAAATACTTGTCGTCAATATGACACAATATGGACTCGTGCTGTGTGCCAACTATTAAATAAATACACGTTCGTGGTGCGTCCGAAACCCGTTGATGCGGTGATACATACGTAATAACTATAAGTAGGTGCCGAAAACATTATATTGGACGACTGTTATTATCACAATCGTATCGTTGTCGCAAAAAGGAACGGCAACTAATGCACAGTTCCTGTTTGTTTTCTGTATTGCGTACACGCGTTTGTCACTCGTACATCGTGAGTGTGTACTCGTACCTGTATAGTGTAATTACCATTACCACGGCCAACAATTGATATGATTTTCGTACGGCTTTCTGCAGCAAGTACAATGGGGTTTCTGAGTTGGTAACTGAAAAAAGTAGTTTATTTTTTTTTTTTTTTTCATTTAGACGTGTGCTATTATATTATTATTTCCTACGTCGCGTTTGTTTTTCTTTTGATACCTATATACCTGTACGATAGTACTACCAAAACGTATAATATACAGGTTACAGACGAGTATATTGACCGAAACAGTTATAATATTATATTATATATAGGTAGGTAGGTACCGGACCAAAGAACACCAACCTTGAATATAATATATTATTACTCCGAGAATGCATAACGAACTACAGAAATGTTGTCCTACTGATCTCACAATGCCAAGGTCGTACATAATAATATTTGTGTATTTCTAAATAATATTTTTATTCTTTCCGTTCACCTTTATCAACTGAATACTATTATCTCAGTTTTGTCCTCCACATCCCCTTGTATCCATCGCCGCACTCTCATATAACCCGCATACAGATGCGCCAGGTTTTAAAATGTCATGGGAGGCTCAATGTTTTATAAACACGCATAAACAGATTTACCTGAATCTTAACATGTTTTCTTTACATTTTTCGTTAAACAAATACTAAAATATAGTTATTTGTTGTTGTGCGTGTTATAATATTTGAATAGTATTGGAATCATGAAAAATCACAAAACAATCTACACTTTTTTTCTACTATCAATATCAAAAAAAATTAAACGTTTATCTTTTTCAATTAATTTGTTACAAATAAAATTAGTGTTTTAAGAATGTACATGACAAATATTGATTTTTTTTTTTTTATAATGTAAGAACCGTGAGAAGCTGAACTCTGTTTCATCAAGCTCATGAAGGGGTAGAAGCTCCAGGCCCCCGTGTACACGACGCCCCTGCCCGCATACCTTTATATTTCCTCCAATAACCTATTGTCGCTTTTTTCTTTTGCTTACCCGATGGACGATGACTATTTCATCGTTTCTCCTCCTCTCGACAATTTTCTATTACAACGTCATTTATCATAATAACAATAATACACGAGTATATATAAAAACGTGAATTATTATATGAAACGAAATTGATTTCATATTACACATGTAGGTTAATAATTAAACGTAGAAAGCGAAACCAGCGTATTCGTTTTTAATTTTGAAATGAAAACTAAATGATGCCTACCTATATATTTTTTTACATGTGAAAATTTTTAAATATAAATCATTATAAGTACTTTACGGCGGATGATTTCACTTTTGATCCGGAAGTGAACAATTTAAAATTTACAATAACAATATTTAAATGACATCATATCGAAAACTGCATGCATAGGAAAACCTCAAAGCCATATGCGTACGTTTTTAATAACAAGTTAAAATTACAACGAATACGTCATGATGAAGAACCTGAGAAATGGAAAGTGCATTTTTTTTTTTCTAATTATTGGAACATTTCGAACAGCTTTAACGATCGTTTTATGTACAATTAAACTTTTTTTTTACTGTATAAAATGTTTCTTTTTGAATTTAAAACGAAATATTTTAACATAACTTGATATGCAAACGAAATAAAATATATCAATCACTCTAAAGTACACAACTATATTTTGTGCTCGATTGTAAAATATGGCGTTAAGGCGTATTACATAGAGTTGATTAAAAATAAGAAAATGTGAGTTTTTCGACACGGGAATTAATCACATTTAAAAAGAAAATATTGAGGTCAATATGTGGAGTGATTTTCAATGGCGTCGGGGAAGCCTACATTGCAAATCGTATCAAAGGGCGGAGATACCACAATTTTTTAGACGTTAAATGCGCGGGTAAAAAAAAGACGGAATCAGATCGGCTATAGTGACTGAAACGAGTAAATGGCCAGAGGCTTTGCTCGGGAAGCGTTGATTGGACGGAATTAAAGACTCGGAAATGAATGGGAAACGTATTGATTGAGAAGAATGTGTTATACAGAGATAGAGGCGGATCGGAAAACAGTTGTGTCGACGGTTAAGGGCTCTTGAAGGGCTGTTGGACTAGGGAAGAAGATGAAGAACATATGCATTTCAATAAAAAAAAATAATAACAATACTAAAAAATAGTGGACACAGAGTATAATATGATATTATAGTGATCGATAAAATGATTATAATCGGTTACGCGCGATAATAATAACACTGCACTGCATGCAATTTAATACCCGTAACTATAATAATATGCATTATTCGAGTAAAAATAATTTTAAAATCTTATTGTGCCGGACTCGATCGTAGTATTATAACAGTAGCGAATAATAATAATGTAATTTTAAATGTTTATGCCCACAGACTAATGGCGCGTTATAAAAAAAAAAAAAAAAAGTATTTCGTAGTACAATAATCTTTTATATTATAATATTATTATAATTCGATACTGTCGACCGGGTTTACGTGTATATTTTTAACATATACAGCGATCTGACAGCTTTCTCCGTTGCAGCAGAAAGGACTGAACCACTTAGAATATAATATATGTATATATATATTTTTTTATATTTTTAATGCACGTAAACAATCGTTAATTCGTCTGTGTTTACTCGGGGGTTTTTTTTTTTTGTATTTAGCTCGCGTCGTATTTTATTATTGTTGTATCGCCTCATTATTCCGGTTCAATTTTATCGACGTTATTTTCGTGAACATTGTGTATATACTCAGATATATATGATATGGGAACCTACGTACACATATAAATCTACCGAGCGCTAATGTTTATTATAAAGGTTCCGTGACCATTGGAATAAGGTCGGCCGTAGTGGATGCGCCAACAAGAGATCTGGTCATCAATAAGCCCGAGTGAAAGTACTGCGGTCCATTAATGGAAAAAATAACGCGCGGGCGCGGAGTAAGGTCGCGTATCCACGGAAAATAAAATGTAACACCCGAAAATTGTCTATAACTACACCGTGACAGCTGTCGTCGTGTTATTTTTTAATTTTTTTTTTTTTTTTTTTCCAATATTAAGCCACGTTTTTTACGAACATCGTATGTAAGCAATTTGCGATTATTTTTTTTGGGAGGGAGGAGGGAAGAGAATTTCACCATTATAAACCTATAACCGTTTTGTTATTTCAATATGCGGTGTTCCCATAGGGTATACTCCGCATAATTATACGCCGTATACTCGCAACATATTGATGAAAAATCACAGATATACTCTCAAATAGTTTTCCAAAAAAACCATAACGCTACGATAGGTTAGTATTATTGCCCGTTCGTGTCACGCATCCCTCTAAAATCCAGGGCTGGATAGGAGGAAAGGAGCTTAGGGGGGTCCATAGCCCCGGTTGAAGGGAGCTACACAATATGTGTTTTTGTTGATGGCCTTTTTTTGCTTTTATTCGAATATTAGAACATCATACGACCCTTTTGCTGACCTGACCATTTTTTTTTTTTTTTGCTTATTAGTCTTATTAGTCTTTAGCCACGGGCCTCCATAACCCATAACCTGACTCTACTAAAACTATACTAGTAATACGCGAATTGTATTTTAGTAATTATAATTAACCGGATTCGCAATTTTCTTACGAAAATACAATGTATAGTACTTTTTTTGAGACCTGATTCCGAGAATATCTCAAATATAATCTAACCTCGTAGTTATAAGATTAATATAGAGACTTGATTTAAGGTTTATATCACATATTTTAACAATTTTCGCACAAACTATTATATAATTTAAATTTCCATTTTTTTCTTCTTAAACAAAAGCCAATTGCCCAAAAACCTTTGCTGTTGATAATTTCAATTAAATTTTTATATAATCTGATATCTACTCCTCTATAAACAGTTTGGGTACTACAAAAAAATTAATGGGAACACTATTGCATAATATAACATGTCGTGATATCGTGATGGTATAGCCGTATAGGTACGGCTATACCATAAATGATATTATTTTTGAGTACCAAACACGCATTAAAAATGTCGAAAAATGCAGTTAAACTTGTAGTTGAACGCAATGCATTAAACTATAGAAATATTATTTGGGCCACTGAAATACAACAAAAACGTGACATTTCGTTTAACAGCACGAGTCTATTTAGAATATTTTTTTTTTTTTAATAAAACCCTTTTACCGGAAAAAAAAACCCATTTTTAGTTTGCAAATAAAACTGAAAAAACGTTTTATATCTATAATGCCATCATCGGTCTGAAACATACAATTACGGAAAAAGCAACACATTAATTGTATAAAAAAAAAAAATATATCATTTCTTCACTTTCACATAAAACCGTGGTACGTATGATCTCCAGACGAGTATCCGTTGAAAAATATGTAACTATGAGTATACAATATACATGCAGTACCTATGCAGTTTATGCATTGCATATGATGGTTTTACTCCCGATTTATCCGATACAACGAAATCACCAACAGTAAGATACGACGGACAGATCGTATAATAACCGTGCCGATCGATTAGTCGAAAATCAAAAATTGACGTGAGATTTAATTTGCAGTAATTTCACTATACCTTGTAGGTAATATTATTATGACGATGGTGGTAAGAACGACTTAACTATGCAACGGGATGAAGTGAGATTGGCCCGTTAGTCGCGACATGACACATCACGTGCGTTGTTTATTAAAAACTAATAACATTTTGCAAAATAGTAGCGGTTTCTTATAATAATGCCTGCCTATAATAATGTATGCCTAACTAACTATAAGCGTGTAAGCGTACAAGAATTTTCACTTTTTATACATATTATCTTAAAATTACGTTGAAAAGAATCATTAGATAATCATATTATTGACGTAATGTGTCGTTAAAATATTTTAAGAACATTACATTTTACTGTTCGAAAATTCAATATGCATACTAATTATATAATTTATTAAGAATAACAAATTTAGAGTACTATTTTTTTTTTTTTTTTTTAAATTTTTTATTGAAAAACATTAAATTTGTTCATTAAAAATACATTAAAAATATTAAAAATCCCGATAATAAACCGTTATAATTATTTAAAAGCAATAAAGATTATAATAATAATTGTGTTTTTGTAGTACCTGTATCCCATATAAAATGATGTTATAACGAGGTCAGTATTGTTTTTCTTAAATCGGGTTCGTTTAAGCATAGTAATGATCGGTAATATATTATATTGTGTAACCAAAATCTACGGACGTTTTTCTACCGATTTGATAAGTACCTATATTGATGATATAGCCGTTATTCGAAAATCAATTACTAACTACTGTGCGTACCGATATACCATTACTTAAAAAACGATTCTGAGCACAGATATATTAGATATATTTTTTCCCTTGTTGCCCAGTAAATTAACAAAAAGTATGCAATGAATTTTCAGTCTTTCCCATTTTTTTAAGAAAACAACAATGAAAATCAAAAAGTTGACCTTCTCAATACACCAACTAAATAAAAACTGCTAATATGCAACCATCCTAAACTAGTAAACAATAAATTCGGTCGGAAGACGGAAATTTGAATGGTACCCAAGTTGAATTTTACACGTGTTTAACACGCTTATGATTTAAGAAAACGGAAACCTGTGACAAACATACAGTTTTTTCGGGTCCTGTGGACTTCCATTTTGCATAGGTCTCATTGTTGCGTTATGATGTTAAACTCAAATGGTCTATTCGCATTCAACGATAAAAAATCAACAAGGTTTTAAATTCTATACTATTTTATAATAATGTAAATCGCTAAATAAATATACATACCTGGGGAAGAGCCGATCACAATTCAATCTCCGCCATCCGTGAGTCGACTCCTTGATCAGATGTTCGAGTGCTCTCTCAACAGGAAATTCACCCATCATCAACCGTAATCCCAAGCTAAAAAGTACAAAATAAAACGAATAATATAAAGTAAGTAAACGGATCGGACGTTCACAAACAAATTTTTCGGGTTTTTATAAAAAAATGAACATACCGCATGATTGTTATGTTTTTTATTTGCGTAAGCACCTATTACATTTTCAACGTCATGTATATTTGGAAATTAATTTATATAATTTTTTTTTTTTATCACTATTCGTGTGTTTTTAAGATTATTTATTACAATATTACACTAAAATAACGCACTCATATCGTTATAAACAACTTTGAAGATATTTTTGCCGAAAAATTGTTATTGCGTAACAGTTTTGATATGCCACGTGTTTATCGCACGGAACAAGTGTAGAAATTTGAAAATATTCTCTAAATACGTCTCATAAAACGATTCAATATAATATAACGAGATACAATAAAAGAAAAAAAAATCAAATTTATACGATATAAGATGCAAATTCGATGTCAAACTTCACGATATAGAGGAATCACCTTGCAGATGCAATGACGGTGCAACGATCGACGACACTAGGCCCTTCTATATTGTGTTCATTGTTTTCAATATGGACTGATGAAATACAAAAATACCAAAGTAACAAACATTTTAATCGATATACAGTATAAGTGCACACAATAAAAGGTGCAATGTCGGTAATATAGTATCTATTTATTTGATCGATATTTTCAATATCGTTTCCGTGGATAATTTCATTGAATTCAAATTGAAAAAAATATTCAAAGACGGAAATCTTCACAATTATATTTAAATTGTCTATAACAACAATAACATGTCGGGCATTTTGATTAACTAAATTAATTTATTAATTAATTAAAAAATATATTACCCCTAACGTCCCGACCTCCGCACGCTACTGGAAATCATCTGCGTAAACGCAAATCTCGACGTATAATTACGTTATAGAAACCATTAGTGTGAAATCACATTATTATGCGATAACAATCCTTATCAAGTATTACTGGATCCAAACGAATAAACATTTACACTTAAATGTAATGCGAAGTAACTTTAAAATTCTTATACCTTACATTTTAAGTTGATATTTATTTTATCGCTGAAAACCTCATTTGGGTATCTCTTACTTTAATAATAGTGACATTTTAGTTTCTTATTACTTTACTCGTATTTTAAAACGATATAAACGTTAGAAAAATATGCATTATGTGTGTGTATAATGAGACTATTCCAAACCAAATGATCCAATAATTATACTGATAAGAGACTAATAAGAAGAGCATAACTTAGACGCTAATCGCTTTGTTGCAGCGGACATTAGATTTTTTTTTGTCATAGCGTGTGTACTTATTGTAGTTAATAATACAAATATTAGATTTGTATATATGGTAAATACTTATTTATTTTGGCATGTATTTCCATTATGGGAATTGATTAATATTAAAAATTGAAATTTTGACAATACTATTATGTTTCTGAATTTTTTAAAAGTCTCAGTAATATTCGAGATAATGACGAAAATCTTCGTTCTTTTCGTTTAAAACGATTAAGACTAAAAATGACGCTTTCATTGCAGGCGATTTATTATTATTATTATTATTTTTTTTTTTTTTTGTTATTATTATGTTGTTATTCTTTTGATCTTTTAATCTTTTTTAAACAACCGTTGTTATAGCGAAAACGCACATTGTTGAATGCCGTTGTTCGATACTATTGACCGAGCTCCGCTCACAATCGTTGGCAATGATTAATAATCGTTGCGTATACAGATATACATTAAATTCCCCTTTTAAATCCTACCTTCCCGATTTCTCGCCTACAACAGTGGCCCGCCTCTGGTATGTCCGTATCTTTTTATGATTTACGTTTTCCGAATATTCAGCGCGTTGTGTACAACGCCCGGTCAGTGTTTACAGCGAACCATTTTTCCACGTGGACCGCAACACGTATACGTATACACACAAGGATAGTTAAATAATACATCACGACTTGTGTCCTGACTTACGGTTAATCCGCCGCTATACAAATACGACAGCGGGTATTGTATGCCACGACGCGGGGCGGCGTACAAGACGCGTACAATAATAATAACAAATAGCGATATAATAACAACGCTATAATGATAACATATTATTATAACGATAATGATGATGATGATGGTGGTGATGATGGTGATGATAACAATACTAATATGATAATACGGCACGAAATATTGCACGGTAGTTGCGTGTGGTATACAGTACACAAAATATTATGTAGGTAATAGACGACGGTTATGCATAATTGACCGCTGTCGCCTGTCTCTGTAATGGGTACCCCTATACACATTACGCCTAAACAAAAAATGGTCAATCGGAAAAAAAAAAAAAAAAATCACTTGCTCCGCAACCATTGTTTGCGCTCCGTTTGGCTGCGGTTCATTAGCGACTGGCTGTGCTGCGACGGCGGACCAGAAAATTATTTCGGTACACATACACGCGTAGTGTACATAAATTGTCTATAGTTCCCATCTAGCAACACCGTGCGCATACGCGATAATGGGCACAATCCCGATTAAAAAAAAAAAAAAAAAAAAAAATGTAGGTGTCCGGTCCTAAACTATACCGTTAATATGATGTGTAATTCGTTCGCTAGATATGATTTTCGACATCTAATAGTGTGACTAGCCGGCGAGACAAATTGATAAAGACGTTATGTTATTGCAGGACGGTCTCGACCGCGGTCTTGTTAGAAGGGACGCTGGCTATCTCTTCGGTGTTAATATTACGCAGTTGTTTAGATAGGCGGTTTTATTTAAATTTTTTCCTCCACCCCCCCTCCCCCCAGGTAATTATTATTGTTTGTTCGGATCGATTATGATAATGATTTTTCAACTCAACACCCAAACACGCAAAGTTACGTTCGTCGCGCCATTAAATAGTTACTAAAACTGTCACTCTACGCGGCCGAGTTTGATATACCGGTGTACCGACCGTCCAATCTTCTAAAATCGTAGTCTCGAAGATCGTAATGAAAAAAAAATTTATTTTACAAATCAGTGATCACTTTTTCGTTTTATCTATGGTTAAGATCCTTCGAAATTTTCACCCCGTCAAACATTGAAAGAAACGGATTTTCAACCCGATTCCTATGTACGTATATACTTTGTTTGTACAATTTTACTAGATTCCCGCAACGTCCTAGTCCGAAATCGTCTATCGAAAACGGATTATTAAATTTCAATTTATAAGCGAGATCTCCCGTTAGTTGAATTTCGGACTTTATTTCACGTCCAGTTATTATAACATTTTCGAAAGAAAAGCTAGTGGCCCGGGATTTGTCTTCGCTAATGAAAATAATATGTTTTTTTTCGATTTATAAACAAACCAAAGCACATATTTTTTTAGGAACGTGCCGGAGTTCCCGGTTTCCGTGATGATATACGCGGAATTTACAAAAATCTAATAAGAAATAAAATATTTGACCGACAGTAGAACATAATAATATAATAATGTAATTACGTTATGAGCAGCATTACGAAGCACGTTCGTATTGCCATTATAGTAACATTTGTAAACAAATCAAAACTACACGCGTGACGAATACCGATTGCGATAGTATTATTAATATGAAGTATGAAATACAAATACTACAATAATTTAACCTAATCAAGGTTCGTACTTAAAATAAGTTAAGAAATTGCAATTCAATCAAAATGTCCATCATGATTTAATTTATAACTCAAATTCTATCGCACACATTGTAATTAATTGCACTAATTGCGATGTGATAGATAATGATAACATATGAAAACATAAAAATCACAACGGTCATTCCTTCGGACGGTGGCGCCGAACCACCCTAAAAGGCGATATAGGGACTACCGAAAGTTGAATTTAAATTAACCCTGAATTTCATCTCTATTAGATGGGATAGTAGTAATTACATACATATTTTTTGGAGGGTACATTTGTAAATTCTAATGTTTATTTCTAAATGTTTGTCACATTTAGGTCTGGGATTAGATTCAACCCGACTTGGACTTAATCAATATTGGGCATTCTATTTTATTGTATAGATGTTAAATATGTATTACTTTTATGCCATTACCGATGTTTAATCCTTTCGATTGGTGAATATTTTCCTTTAAACTTTAGATAAATATTTATCCCATTTATATTATATAAATTTATTGTTTACTTACATAAATTATATTCATCCATAAACTGACAAACAAAATATTCAATTATTTTATTTTTGTTCGAGTTGTTACTCTTGATTGGTACAAAAAATTATTAATTAATAACGTAAAATAATTATTCTCAAAATCGTTGAAAAAAAAACCCCCCATATATTGACTACTCTATAATAAGTATTTACAAATACTTTTCAAAAATATCTCAGTTACCTTTACCGGTTTACCACCGTTCTAGTCGTATTATTTGTTTTGTATAACGATAAAAAAAAATAAAAAAACAAGCGGACATACTTCGCACCAAGGATGGGCCACTGTCGTAGGTCAGAAGTTTGGAAGATAAGATAATAAAGGGGAATTTAATTTATTTCTGTACGCAACGATTTATCATTACTAACAAAAACCGATTCGTGAGCGGAGTTCAGTCAATAGTATTGCTTTTTCAACAATTTGCGTTTTCACTAACTAACAACGATTGTTTAAAATAGATTGAAAGATTAAAATAACAAAAAATAATAATAAAACGATTGCCAATGACAACCTTATTTTTAATCTTAATCTCTTTTAACCTAAAGAACCGGGTTTTCGTCATTATCTTGAATATTACTAAGATTTTCAAAAAATACCTTTCCAAAGTATCAAATAGAGCCGAAATTCAACAAAAAATATCTCTTGTTGTGTTTTAATTGGAGCAAGATTCCTAGTAGAAATTTTGTACACAGTATGAAAATAAAATAAACATCATCGGCTTCACTCAGAATCTACAATGGTACATTACATACTACACAGCAGTATTACAAACCATGGGTAGGTATCAACGATAACTTTCCAACCACCCATTACACACAAAAGGTGTAACTGCTGTCACACCTTTCGATCGTATTCGACGCCACTATACTCTCGAGCATCTTGAAGGGATCGTACCTGGAAAATTGAATGAAAACTTGTAAAATGGAAAAGGATACAAAACGGACTTTATCCCATACACTCCGGGACCTAGGCCTAAAATATAGACGTAAAAAGGAAAACAGGCAATGACTGCAGTCGAAAAAACTGAAGTATCTAAAGAAAGAAAAGAATTATTGATATCTTATAAAATTGTATAGTTCTATAAAATACACCGTCCATATTATAATGATATACATATCTGCATTATGATAAATGCGGGTAACCTATGAAAATGAAATTCTTTTCTCGACAAAAACACATTCCGAGTGGAATGATATATTATTAATATTTTTGATATGTTCTGTGCGTTCGTGCGAAAACTTCCATTTTTACCGTTCGCTGTGTACTATTTATACTAAATTTTCTATAGTAGCAATTCGATTAAAAATCAATAAGTAAAAAGAAAAAAGACACACATCGCACGAGAGTGGGCCACTGTTATAGGTGAGAAATCGGGATGGTAGTTTATAGAGAGGAATTTAATTTATATCTGTACGCAACGATTAATGTTTGCTAATGCAAAACGATTCTGAGCGAAGACCGGTCACAAATGTCTTGAAAGGCCGTACTGTTTACGATTTTGAAAATAACACATTTTGTAAATTTGCCCGGGTTTTCCCATGTACTATGAAAACTCCCGGGAAAACTAAAAAATGACCTCCTAAAGTATCACCACAGTGAAATTTCCTATCTGTAAAAGTGCTACACTTCAAAATCCGAGCGAAATTTCTAGTAGAAAAGTTATTCAAAAAAAGATAAACATCATTGTGAAACCAACTCGCTCCGCTCAGAAGTGATAATTTATGAATTATCGAAATTCCTATCGCGATAATAGAATGACCATATAACAGCGCTAACGGGCACAATCACCATAAAAACAGTAGCGTATACAAATTTTTAAGTGATATACCGACAAAACAATATTTCACGGTCGAAAAAAATGAAAATGTTAATGGCCGCAGTATCTATCGTATTATTATAATATCGCCACGGTCTTGTGTATCGATACGATTATTTAGAAAATATACCTAATAAAATAAACGTGCAATTTAATTAGAAACAATTACTCGGAGTAAAAAATTTAACTGATAAACCGTTACGGTCACCCGTTATTTCGACGTTAATTTAATTGATTTTTAACCCAATTGCATACGCGTGTGGAATTGACACTGTGTAATGTAAATCGGCACAAAACCCCAAATAATAGTAGACAACGGAAAATTAAAAACCGAGATAAAAAAAAAAAAAAAAAACCATCACGGATTGTTTGTTGTACGCGCTATATAACGTTAATAAGCGAAAAGTCGAGTAAAAAAAAGGACAACGATTACCGGTTAGGTTAGGTTAATGTGTCAATTGAGTACAGAACCTACTACAAATAAACGCGAAATTCCAGAAGACTTGACGGAACGTAAACGTTTTATACTCGTGTATAATTATTTTGGATTCACGTCGGCGAGTAGAATTGATTAGCTAATTGTACTGCGTGTGTGTTTGTTGTTCGTTTAACACTTTTAGAGTGTAGAAAAGAGTGTTAGAGTAATAGTAAATTGAGAAAAATGTATTCAAAACGCAAACTTGTTAGCTGAATATTTCAAAAGAATTATTTATATTCAAAATTAAGGCAAACGAAGAAAAAACGTATAAAAAAAAAAAAAAAAAACTAAAATTAGCGTTAAACATATACGGCAACCGCGTTTTTCGAACGACCTATTCCGTACTGTAAACGGAATATAACATGCTTATTTTTTTATAATTTCGTCCGGTTCGTTCATCATTGTGATCGATTTTTAAAACTATACTTGGATTTTTTTTTTTTTTTTTGTAAATTGCTATTTTTAAGTGATCGGCGAATACGGTGCACAACGTTACAGGGAGGTCAATAGTAAGCGATTAATGTCATCGGTTGTCATCGTAACAATAATACGCAAACTACGTTTCGTTTTACACGGACAATTATTGTTATTCGATAGTGGCCACTAGGTATACCTGTTATTATAGCGAACTCGCGAGAACACGAAGGCTAAGTCGAAACAGAAGCCAATAACCGATTGTTAAACGGATCCCGTTTTCATCCTTCGCGTCGTCGTCGTCGTCGTGAGAATTTTCGTTAATCGCGCGTTCGAAACACAACCGCGTAATAAATTATACGTTGTATTTGCGCGCTGGTACACCGATGGGAAAAAAATCCTATTCAAAAACGTTAAAAGATCCCGTTTTTTTTTTTTTTTTTTTTTGTTTTTTTTTTAGAATATATATTGTATTAGGTATATCCTTAACGAATTTTGTATAAATTCATTTTTTTAGCACACAGCTTACGACGGCGGCGCGTTTTTAGGTCCGCCCGTCCTTCGTCACTTTTCCCAGGCTCGGACCCGTGTAATTACAATAATATAGAAACCGCCACACTTTCCAGTAAAAATCCTCTAGAACTTTCACACCGTGACTCTATATCGGTGTATTTACTTGAAAGACGCGGACGGAACTTTATTCGAAACGTTTGTCTAGATTCTGGAATGTAATACCTATGCGATCTAAACGTTCTAAACAAAAAAACAAAAAAAACCACACCAATATCAATCTGAAATAATATTGAACGTAAAACAGTACGAGGGGGCGAATTCGACAACTGGAAGATGTTACTATTGAAATATGCACACGAACGCGAGCTCATGCTGAATTCAGGGGTACCATCAAAAAGTTTTTGTCGACGAATAATGATTTTTTTTTTTTAGCAATAACATTTTTATCAGTTTCATACCGTTGCAATTAAACATTATAAAAACAGACAAAACATTTTGTAAGATCAACGATAGCAACCAAGTTTTTCATTGAATACAACGTTAATTTTCGTTGAGTGTACGTTCTGGCGCTTTCCTAATGAAATAACGCGTCCCCCCCCCCGCTTTATCCACAAACCCGTCGTGATTTGTCATCGACTATTCTTTGTATAATGTTACAGTAACTTTCTTGTTGCATTATAAGGTTCGGACAAACACGACTGTCGATTTTCGATCGATTAGGCGATAGGTTTCGGGTTTACGTTTATAGAACGCGAAATGACTTCCTTAAACACCCCGCGGCGTCGGTATTATTTTTGGTCGTCGAAATCGCGTTGTACCGATATTATGAATTCGCGATAGGTCACGTATATGCAGACCGATCGGAGGATTTCGTCGTTTGCGTCCGTGGCCCGTTTCGAGAGCGAACGGAATTGTATATTCTGTTTTTTTTTTGTTTCTTTTTTTTTTTTTGTGACTGCTGCTGCTGCTGCTGCTGCTGCCGTTGCAAGGTATAATAATTATTATTATTAAAATCGCATTACAGCGCGATGCTGCGGAAAAGCGAATTGATCGCCACACTCGAGGCACCGTTATTCGCACACATCGGGCGATTTGCCAGCGACGTGTTTTCGCGACCGGCGCGCAGAGTGTGTATTATATAGGTACGGTCGGTTTTCGATGGACTTATCCACATCGCCGCATCGCCGTTTACCTACTTCCGCGGACGACTGTATAAATATTATCGTCATAAAAACGACGAAACTATAATAATAATAGGTGCGGATTTCGTTGCGGGCTAAACTAAATATATTACTGTGTATAATAATACCCGCGTGAAATTTGTTTCTTCGTTTTGTGTTTTTTTTTTTTTTTTTCGTTCGTGCCTCGCTTCTTCTACAATACGGGTAAAGAGGTACCCGCCATAATACAACTCGCATAAATCTCGCCGGGCGATCCGTGGCCGCCTGTTATGTCACGTTCCGCTACGCCGCCTCCGCGGGAATCGCTACGGCGTAAACCGTCACGACGAAATAATACACAAACTATATTCTCATTTTAACATACTGCAAGACGAATATCGCGGATAAACGACAAACGTACACGTACAATGATATATGGCTGTGTAGTTCCAACAAACCAGCTGCGTTGACCTACGGTTTTTCGCGTATAGCCTTCGACGATAGTCACTTTTTTTTAGCACGTGATCCACGAACAAGAGATACGAAATACGATTCTTGTACACGGTAAGTCTATTGGAGTCCGAAAATTATTACGGTACCGTAATAACCAATAGCGCGCCCGGGAATTTCGAACGGCAGGGGAATGTACCGAATGATATTCGCGAATAGATTGTAAAATCCTCTCTAGTCAACTAAAATTCCGCGGGTATTCGAAAGTCGAGTCAAAAAAAAAAAAAAAAAGACCAATGATTAATCAATAAATCGAGCGTTTCCTTGTTGGTGGGCTTAAATATGCTTTATATTTTAATACACAATACAATCTCAAGATTAAATTACTAAATAAGTACTCGCAGTTGTATTTCCAAGCCGACGGGGGTGTATAACCCCGAACTCCCTATCGTGCGCACGTCACTGACAATAAAATACGTTTATGAACGATGTAACTTTTAACACTCAACTTGAGCTATCGTTTTCCTGAAAACGTAAAACTTAACTAGTTTTATACGAACTCGTTTATATTTTAAAATTAACTTTAGCTTGGATATTATTGTTAATGTTTTTATTTTTTTTTTTTTTTTATAAATATATATCTCGACTTAAACTAGTTTAATAAAATTAAACTACTTGCCCAGCTTTCGGCATCGCAACAGTACATCATTATTATACTATCTTGTTTTTGCGTTAACAGCTCTTCCGGTGGTATGTTTCGCAACCTCAAACATCCCTAACTACTTGGCTCATACAACATAGGTATTCGAGTGGCGGCTTTTCTCGTCTATTTTTTTCCTGGCTACGGATCCCTATATTATACAATTCACTTCTTGTATAGTGTAAATTGTTGCGGTGACCAAGTGTAGGTAGATACGTCCAACCGGTTTAGGTCTTCTAATCCGCAGGGTTTTAAGGAAATCGGTTTTCATCCCCCGCTAAACGGAAAACTTCTTCCTACGATCTACCGAAATCGTTTTAGAAATTTTCGAGAATGCGAGCGGGTGTTTTTTTTTTCTTCGGCATTTCCTAATGTCCATCACGACCCACTCCCGCAAAGAATGCTGCTCTCCGAACCGGCTATAGCCTGCGATATACATTATACATTACAGTTCTTCGGTGCGTTAAAAAAAAAAAAACGCCCGCTACCTTATAATATGAGTGAGTACCTATATCGGTTTGACGTTTATAATATTTGCACTGCAGCGCGGAGTGATTTTCCCGTCCGCGGTCGTTTCGCGTGACGACGACGGGAACCGGTGCACGTACCGATGTACAGTACGAGATCGGAGACGACCGGAGAAAAACGATTCGTACGTAAAATATCGTTGTTATTATAATATTATATCAGTGTAATATTATATTGTAGTGTGTACGATCCGCGAACCCGTCTTTTTCGGTCCGTAACGAGATGTGCGAGAAACACCGCAAATATTATAAAACACCGTAATTTTAATATTTTCCGAAACGCCGCCGTCGCCGCATTGCTGTTTATTTATGAGCATGTATGGTGGTTATATTTTTTTTTTCCTCGGTTTTTTTTTTCTCCCGTCTAATATTATAATAATAAACACGGCCGTTTTAAAGCACGATTTTTCCCGCGGAATCCGTTACTCTCGCGGCTCGTTTTTGTTCGCGTTTATTTTCCTCCAACAGTCGGATAATGACGTCCAATTTAATGCCGCGGGTACGCCACGGACGACGACGACCGCGTAAATTGTCCTCGGAGTCAAAACACCGTGAAGTGTACGATATTATACAACGATTATAATACACACAAATACGTACACGTGATGTTATGTGACGTTAGGTGACTTACCCGTGTTGTTATAAAATATTATAGTATAAAGTGTAGTTGTTTTTTTTTTCTCCGCTATTTTTACTTTTTTTACCGGTTATTTACACGGCTCCGTCCACCCGCGCGTCACACGATCGCGTTCAAACAACCGGTTAACTGCTAATTATAATATACGTATTACGGCTATGTCGGACGACGAAAATCAACGGATTTTTTTTTTTCTTCCTTCAACAAATCAGTGGTTATTTACAACACGGTGATACGCGTGTGCACATGTACCGGCCGGTTTATTATAATATTACGGTATCGCGACAACCGCGGCGGCGGTGCGTGTTTAATAACCATACTCGCAGACTGTGTCAGAGTTATATTGCATTATGCTAACCGTCTTTCCGGACAGACGGTGTACGAAGGAGAACGGTAAACGTGACATTTTCGAAACGTTACGTTTTCCCTACCGTCCCCATCATCGTTTATTTCTAGTGATGAAAAAAAAAAAACAGAAACTACCGGGTCCCGCCGAGCGCCTCGCGTTAGGGCTGTGAATTCAACGCGCGAAAAAACATTTCGAAAAAAGGCGTTCGGTTCCCGAAAAAAAACAATTGCGAGGTAAAAAACCACGTCCGCGAACAGCAATAATATGCACCGGCGTCTTTAACAAGGGCGTCCGTCTTTGAAAATCCAGGGAGGGGAAAACTGTATTTTTCAATAATATTTACTATTCCTGTTAGGATAACAGTTCGCCACTATGATACGTAAGTTTACGCGTAGCGTTATATTATACGACTGTATTCCTGCTTCCTACAATATACAAATATATGAATGTGAAAATGAAAACCTTCGAGTCCTGTGTTCTCGGAAACTACTGAACCGAAATTCGGTTTTTGGGTATTGATATTATTTGGATTACCTTAGTAACACGGATGAAATGAAAAAATATTTAAAAGGTTGGTCAAAACGTATCTATGGCAATTAATATTATTAAAAATAATTATAAAAACATATATGCCATATTGTATAACGCAATAAAATTGTAAACTGTCTTTAAAATTTGTTTGCGTTTTAGTCGTGTCAAAACAACCATCTAGGAACACGGCAAAATATGCTAATAGAGCACGCTTGGTACGTAGTAACGAAACTTCTGCTGATCGAGACAATAGACTCTATGGTTGAAACTTAAAAATATATGTCATTAACAGAATACTTTTAGTCCGGCCAAAGGTGGACCATCCACTTTCCACTTGTTTGTTTTTATTCGTTACTGACACGGTCGAAACCAAAAAGGAATATGGGTAAAAAAATAAATAAAAATTGGCACTGCCAAGGCAGGGTGGGACAGCTAGTAATAAATAAATTAATAATAAACACGGAAAAACCGGGGGGGGGGACATGCTCCCTCCTTGCCCCCCCATGGACGCCCACGGACGCCCATGGACGTCAACATGGGATGCTCGATTTCCAACGCCCGTCTCACGAGTACGTTTAAATTGCACGATTTTATCGAAAGCGGTTAGTTTAATATCGTCTCTATAGTTGCAGTGGTGCAGTACAGTGTTATATCGCGGTATCCGGTTATTAATTGTTTTTACCAAGAATACGTCCAAAATATATTTACATTCCATTTAATATTGAGTGTGAAAAATAACCGTTTGGTTTGGTTAGGTTTATTTTATTCGAACTGTCTATTGTTCGTAATTGTATTACAATACAGTGTAATTACTTTGTAACTCTGTGCCAACCGCCGCAAGCGTAGCCCGAAGGAAGTATATTCATAGTTTCATTTTTATTTAGCACCAATTAATTGTAAATTATTTTTAATTTGAAAAAAACAATTTAAAAAAAAAAAAAAAAACATATATAGAGTGATTGTTTAAAAATCCCATTTTTTTTTTTTTTTTTTTTTTTTTGATAACAATTTTTTTATACGTTCAAATTCTGGATTATTGGAATTTTCAAGAGTAACTGAACATTTAAGGGATATGCTGTGGCGATACCAGCTTTGGTTTTACAAATGAAAACCTATTATGTTAAAAATGCCATAAATATATTGAGTATTAATTTAAATAAAGTATTCGAAAATATCGGCTTTGATTACACTTAAAAATTTTAAAAATCAAAATTTGAATATATGCAAAATTTAACAAAAAAAAAAAAAAAAAACATCGAGTGAATATACTTAGCGAATTACCTTGTGAACAAGTGTATACAAGTGAATATAGGCGGGGGAAATTCGATTCGATGTTTTTAAACGGTTCGTTTTTTAATTTTAGAATATTTTACCATTAGATTTCGACTATCTATTCGATCAGTATATCGAATTTACCTGTATTTGTAACCTAACTGAAAGTCTGCAAATAATTAATATGAACCCAGCGTGTTTCAGGTAATAAAAATCATTACTGACAATAATGATGACAGTGCATATCAAAATTGTAATATTATGTGTGTCCTTACGGTTTTTACGTTGAATTTTTATTTTTGTAATATGCAAAACGTTAAAATCGAGTTTTTTTTTTTACTGTAGAACGAATGGTCAACAGAATAAAGTATAAACTAACTGTTTATAAAAATACAAAATAAAAAATAAATACATGTTCATGGTGTTTTTTATACGTAAAATAAGCGTATAATATATCATTTGTCATTTATCATCGCTGATTCGTTTAATCAAAATGCATTTTCTCTATATCATTGAATAATCTAAATGTATAAAACATATGATTCTCTTGTCCGACGACATATAAACAGTGTGTATAGTTATAATGTAGTAAAAACAATAATATTCTAAACGGCATTACAGTGACGTTGACACGATTCTGAACTGTAAAACTGCATAAACGACCCGACGAAATAAAATTCTCAACGGCTCGCAATAATTGATGGAAATATAGGAAAATTGATATTTAAGAATGTTAATAATCGCGATGATGACTATTAATTTGAATAGTTTTCCAAATTTGAAAAATCACTACACCCTACGGCAGTGCTATTATCGGGCCTTGCACACGAAAAACCAGTCATAGTGCAGGGACGCAGGTTTATTGGGGTTTTCAAAGAAACGTGTAGCAATAATCGGTACAAAAAAAATCGTTGGTCCGGGGGAAGAAAGGGAGGGACGTGAGTTTCCGGCATTTATTTCTATGCCATTTTGTCTTAAGTAATTATTCTTCCACGCGCATATCAATTATCCTAACGCATGTCACACTGAAAATCACAGTCTTAAGTCATTATCAGGGTCTTCTTGGGATAAACCTGACAGCGGTCTTTGATGGCGGCTGGGTGGGTCGGTATAAACGCATGGAGATTTTAACGTTCGAACGCATTGTGATATTAAAAAATTAAAAACATTTAATCGTTTGCTGCTGTGGTGGGCATATTGTGCGATTTTACCCGGGAAGATTGAATAACGACGGGTGCCGCTGCGGGTCACTACGACGCACTACTTTTCGTTTTGCGAAAGCGCATGAGTCGCACGCGTAAATTCAGCCGTTTAGCGGTGCCGTTGTGTCGTCTGGCCGAATACGGTCGAAACGCAACGGTTTCGTTGCGTCGAAATCTGTGCGAAATTCGCTCGAGCCCGTTTTCCCCCCGGAGACCGGAGATATTGTAACGTTATCACGTCGCGTAAACCATACGGGAAAATCGTACGACGTTTCCAAACGCCTCCGCACACGTTGAATACTGTTCCGGACCGGCCGCTACGGGCTCGCAGAGGCACGGGTACGCATAGAACACTGCGGTCTTTTTTATGACGCTAATACAAGAGAACGTGCATAATTCTCGCGTTTAAACGCCGACGGCCGTTCGCGGCTATTGTCCGGACGAAACGCGCGTTTTACACGGTTCACACGTGCTCGCGTGTTTCGCCTCCCCCCCCCCACCCGCCCACAGATTCTGCGCCTCTAATATACACGCGCAGCGTATAGAAACGCATAGAAATCGTAACCGCGCATACGAGTTTAATATATTATTGTAATAACAGTTCAAATACCATCGTCGTCGTCGTACGGGTACACATAAATAATATTGTAATGCCTACGCGCGGCAGCGTTCAGATGCGTTTTTTCTTCGGGTTGTTTTTTTTTTTTTTTTTTTTTAATTTTATTTCATTGTGCGCGCAGAAAAAGTGTTCCCGAGCGTGGGCGCGGATAAACCCGGACGTTTATGTTTAGGACGTCCGGTGCGGTGCTCGGGGAAACATATTATGATATTGTGTGAAAGTCTCATTGTCGCGGAGCGGAGACGACGGTTGAAATCATATTACGCGGCGTGCGCGCGTTCGCGAGATTCCGGGGATAATATCGTTGGAAAATGTCATAACTGCGGCTTAAGACGCCGTATAGACCCGGTGACGTTTGCCGTCGCCGCCTCTCTGTGAGACGGGCCGCAACGCGTCTGCCGAAAAAAAAAAAAAAAAAAGGAAAAAAGGAAAAAGCCCGCGAAAAGGCCATTCAAATCGGTTTGAGAAACGAAATCGTAGACGGCGACGCGCGTTAGACCGTTGTCACCCCGCCGGCATTTTTCGAAACGTTAATTTTGTTTAACTCCACGACGATGTGCGACTCTGAGCGAAGTTCACTCATTGAACGTGTTAAGGGAAAAAAGCTTATACAAAAATATAAACTACTGCGCTACGCTCAGCCTTTTTCGACCGCTAAGTAAACCGTGCGATGGAACTAGAGTGATATTTCCGACTTGGTCAAACAGTGTATTGTATTCATAGAAATCTAAATAAGAACTGATAATTGCTAGACATTGTTAAATGCCTATAAATAGTTTTAAAAAAAACCGTATCACGACTTTAAAAAGTTAATATGAATTTTCTGTGAAAATGTCAGATCTTTACGATGATTATTTGTAACCGAATTATTATCAAAAACTTTTTTTTATAAGTAAATAAAAAATGTAAAAAACACGTTACACAAATCCAAATCTAATATCGATTAAAACGAAAACCGGCATTTATTTATGTTTTGTTCGTACTCCAAAAGCGATAACATTAATTTTCAACATAAAAAAATATTTATACATTGTTATAATGCTTACGGTATGATAGGTATCTAATAGGTATTTTCTATTCGATATAGCATTCGACATTGCAATCAGTACTTTGACCAGAGTACATCCAAATCAAAAACCGATTGTTATTTTATTACTATGTGCCGTTAATGTTTATTACTCGGGAATTTGGTCATTATCTGAGTATTCGAATACCTACGCATAAATCCAATAATTTTTTATATCGAATAAAAATGAACGGACACACTTTACACGTGGGTACAGCCACTGTTGAAGGTGGGAAGGTGAGACACAGACGGGAATTTCATATACATCTGTAAGCAACAATACACCGTTACTAACGAAAAAACGATTCTGAGCGGAGTTCAGTTGATAGTTTTGCTTTGTCAACAATATACACATATTATGTCATATTTTGGTAAAATGATTACAACGGTATGCGTTTCCATGACAACAACTATTGTTTAAAAAATATTAAAATAATAAAAACTTAATAATAACAAAAAATTAATAGAAACGGTTGCCAATGACACACTTAGTTTTAATTTTTCGATCTTTTCTAACCTAAAGAACCAGGTTTTCCTCATTATCTCGAATACTAATGAGAATTTCAAAAAATGACCTCTCTAAAAGACCACTCAGAAAACATTTCCTTTCAGAAAACGTGCTACACTTGATCATCGGAGTAAGCTTTCTGGTAGAAAAAAAAAATATCTTTGTAAAACATTATTCGTTATACTCAGAGTCTAAAATGACTCGATATTATAACGTTTTAAATGTATTTCAGAAATATTTGCAGTATTTGAAATTAAATTTTGTGTTTTGCAAACATCGGTATACTTTTATTTTCGCTAGTGATATTTAATAATAATTACGAAATTCGCAATACGATTTTTATTAAATTATGAGAAGAGTCAATTTGAATTGTATTTTAGATATTTTATGCACAGGTAAGTTTACACGAAAATCTTTCATCGATTACTTTTTCGTTTCCGTAGTTTTGTACGTTACTTAGATTTTTTTTTTTTTTCAAACCTATTTAGACATTTACGGGAAAAAACCTATTGTAATATTGTAACCGACGGTCAATTTCCGGTGATTTAAACTGTTCATATAGGTACAAATAAACGCTGTATTAAAAAAAAATTGGTTTTTTTTTTTTAAATAGGTACCTGTATGTTAAGAATATAACTGGCTCAATTAAAACAAAATCAGTTTTAATTAATCTGAAATAACAATTTTCAACCTGCGAATAATAATCGTAAAAAAAAAAAAAAAAACAAAACAAAACAAAACAAAAAATCACGAACGTTTCGCCGATTATAGTGCCTATAATATTACCAAATTTAACGAGAAACAAGTCATGTGAATATTCGCAGAACCGATTCGTAATTCGTTTATCTACGCGTTGCCTATATCGGTAAGTACGATGTGATAATATTGTTCATACGAATTTGAACGATAATAATGATATCTGTATGTTCGCGGCTACCGAAAACGAATCAAAAAAAAATATGACACAGTACCTATCGAAATATCCGTGCGAACAGTGTATTTATCGTAACAAATATTTTACCCACGTCGCTCCTCTCTCCGCAATATTATACTCGAGAGCTCTTTGGCACGACATCCCAGGACATAAAATAATAATTAAGATGGCTAGAGCGCATGCTTTTTCGGTACTCGGTAATCTGTCTGGTCGCCGTTGCTTTCGAACATGCACAGGCGAAGTTTTAAGATCGAGTAGAACTCGATTCAAATCACCTATTACGTTCTGTTGTATGCATTTACCGGGAAAATAAAACTGCAGTTTTCTTACGCGGTGGAATAGTTTTAGAAAAAATGTATATTTTTTCGGGTTTCGTTTCCTTTGAGCTTGCTATCGTGATCTAGAAGTCGCCGACATATGAACTGGTGTGCATAGATGTTATTAAACGTGTTAAATTTTTAATAATTTTGCGGAAATACTAGGAATCATATCAATAATTATCATTATTAAGCCAAGAGCCATACATTTAAACGATACAGATTTAAAAAATTTAAATCTGTAAATTTGTTTGTTTTATATGCTTGCTCGTGGGAAAATTGTTTTTTTCCGTGTTTTTTTTTTTTTTTTTTTGCTTGGTTTTTAATGTGGACAACTAGTTACGGTTTTCGGCATTTTTCAAAATTTGAAAAAAATTGTTTACGCTTTGCTTTCTACACCCTACACTACATTATTAGTTTTTGGTCATTGTACCGCAGAGAGAGCATTTTCGAAGTTGGCCAGAATTAAAAATAAAAATAGATCTTCGCAAACTCAAGATAATCTGTCATCATAAATGATATTATCTACAGAAAATGATGTTCTACGAAATTTAAGTTTCGATAAAACCTTAGAAGCATTCGCTACACAAAAAGCAAGAGAAAAAGACGTTTACATAAAATACGTACTTAATTTTATTTGTTGGTACATGTATCGTAATAAAAAATAATATGTTTTTAATATTTTTATTATACTTAAATAAAAAGGTTCAGATTTGTTTTATTATTTTAAAAGTTATTTTCATTGTTGGGGGCCCACAACTATGTATTGGCCCCTTGGGCCCCTGGAGATCTATATCCGGGCTTGACGACGCGCGACGGATACGAAAGAAAACGTACGATTATTATTATAATTCGAGATTTCGTGTGTACATATTTTATAGACGGTCGTATTAAGAACGTAAACAAAACATGAACGGACTGAAAAGTAACGGGAAAACTTTTACGACAATTTAGAAAGAAAAAAACAAAACAAACACAAGATTCGGTGAAATCTCACAATATTATTTCACTGTAGGCGGTGTACGCTTTCTATCAAAACGTTTTTTATGATATTATTCTCATCGTCACTACGTTATTTCTTTTATGCAAAATTGTAGGTACGTGTGCGCAACACATTTGCACACAGTGTACGATGAATTACTATAGAATACAAATCGTTTATTGACTATACTATAACGATTCGAAAACCCGACCGACTGTTCGATTTATCTGTTCGTTAACGCTTTTATCGTAGGTTTATACTTTTGAAACTTTTTTTTTTTTTTCTAACGAAACTGTACTTAATCGACTAAATAACGTTCGTTAACTTGTCCGACTTTCGACCATCAGAGTTAATATTATATTCTACACGCAGTGTAGGCCTTTGGCTTGGGCCAACGCGTTACCAGCCCCGCGATTTGTAAGACTCCGTTACAATAGTAATAATAACATTCGGAGGGGGCCAATAGTCCGTCCCATCCCCGGGATTGGCAGCATTGCTTTTACCGTATGGGATGAGAAAAAAAAAATTGTACAAGTGACGAACAATGGTATTTCCCGTGGCTCGCTATCTTTTTAGAATAGAATGCGGTGATTCAGATCTCTTATCTCGTTTTGAAATTTCGAATAAAGACCACGTATAAATGAGATACGTTATCTCATTATAGTATCTATTGTTCTATTTCTATATTTGCCGCTGAATATCAACCGTTCAAACATTTCGAACGTTAACTATCGAGCGTTTTAACAGTTTACCGCTCGTGAACGTGCTCGTAAATACGTGTATGATCATAATATGTTTACCTAAAATTTCCGTTCCAATTTAATTTCTATTAAATTTGTTAATTTTAATTCGGCTCGCAGTCGTCAACTGCGCAGTCGATCCCCGCGTCAACGAAACTACGACGTAATCGTGATTCGTGTTTTTTTTTTTCGATAATTGAGCTCCGTGCGAGCCCATCTGTATAATAAATGGGGCCCGGATTTTTATGCAGCACATATCGTTAAATGTGCACATAAAAATTCAAAAATACGCGAAATTAAACGCCCTACTGCTCGCTTAAAAGGCTAAACACTTTAAAAACTATTGCACACTGTATGATAGTGAAATAAATAATAATTACATAATATAGAAATAAAAAAAGATGGACATACTTTGCACGTGGGTGTAGCCACTGTTGTAAGTTGGGAAGGTAAGATACAGACGGAAATTCAATGTATATCTGTACATCTGCAACGATATAAACCTTTGCTAACGGAAAAACGATTCTGAGTGGAATTCAGTTGATAGGTTGCTTGGTCTACAATATACCATATTATGGAAAAATTATTACAATATGCGTTTCCACGAAAACAATAATTGTTTAAAAAATATTTGTATTTAAAATAATAAAAACTTAATAATAACAAATACTAAATAAAAACGGTTGCCAGTGGCAACCTTATTTTTAATCTTTCAATCTTTTTTAACCTAAAGAACCAGGTTTTTATACTTATCTCAAATACTAATGAAAATTTCAAAAAATAATCTCTCTAAAGTACCACCCAGAGAATATTTCTTTGCTGTACTTGATAATTGGAGTAAGCTTTCTGGTATCAAAAATGTTCACATAAAAAAAAATACAATAAACATTATTGAAAAACCAATACATTCCTTGCTCCGCTCAAGATCTAAAAATACAATTCAAATTACAACAAAACTATTGCCCTTGATTATTATTTATCAATTGTCACGTTCATATACATGTAAAATAACGAGAGAAAACGTAATATTAGTTTTGGAACGAATATACAAAATGTGATTTGAGATTTCCAAACTGAAAACTTCTGCGATTGTCACAAAGCACAAATTTATATTTAGAAAAACTTCTTTCTACGTCGCAAAATACAGTTGGCGTATGTTTAAAACAAGAAATGTGTTCAGATGACAACTCTTCAATACCTACAATGTTGTTGCTTATTTCTTCGCCTAATATTCCAAACATTTCTTTAATTTGAAAATATTCTGAATTTTTTAACAACACTTGTGACAGATTATTTTTAGCGAATAATTTAAGCGTTTGATTTTTAATTATAACCGGATATTTTCTATCACACGATACGCTGGTTTCACGAAAATTACGTCATAACTTGGTTATGACGTACGTGACCAAAGACACCCGAGTAATCATTCACGTAAAATTGTGCTTTTTGTTATGGCCTTTGGCATTTTCTTAAGAATATTTAACGCTAAATAAACAAAATATTATGTGAAGCGAACTGAAAAACTGCGGATAGATTACACCGACGAGCAACCGTCACCAATATACCTGAAGGTCCAGTCGTCATCCGATTAGCGATAAACTGTAGACTCCCCCGACACTTCCAATTGACATGCTGACAGTATTGATGTTATCGTGCCGCCCAAGCGATTATCTGAAGTTATCTGACGACGGATATTAATGCTCAAAGTAGCTTTTACAATAGGTTAAACAGCTACTGAGCGAAATTAAAAAAACTGTTGAATTACTGTCTATAAAATATGCAACTTTTATGCAAATATATGGAAATATGCAATTTATAGCCGTTTTTTTCTTAAATATAATACAAAATACAAAAAAAAAATAGAAAATAAAAAAAAATTTACTATAGAATCTACGTATTACGAAACGTCTATATTTGTTTATCGAAATTATTCTGGGCGAATTGTAGTCGAATGTGCATTTGCATAAAAATCCGGATCCTAATGATAACCGTTATTAACTTCCGTGTGGTCGATTTTGCACACACTAATAACGTTAAAAACTTTAAAACAGCGTCCAAGTTTTTGTTTATTGTGAGAATTTTTACTTGTACCACTGTATTTTATTTGTTTGAATATTGCTAGCCGATTTGCACAAAGCTCTGCCGTTAACACGACGGGCAAAACGTTCTAATCTTCAAACGGCTCGTTACCGGCAATTATCGGCGCGTTATAATGTAACGATTTGTTTGCTATCGATTTTCAAACATAGGAAATACTACAGAATCACACGTTAAAACCATTATTTCCGAACCGCTGAAATACCGATGGACGGGGAAATATTACATCGATTGTTTACGTAGATAAAATAAAAAAAAATAACGTCCATTCAACACAGTTCAAAACTCACTAACTCCCTGAGGCCTCTCGAAAAAAATTCACTCTTAGGCCGGCTCTGACCCTAGATACGTATTGCAATCGTGCGGAGCTCGATCGATTATCAACAATTATTATATTTAATTATTATATTCACTATCACACGATAGCCGCGCGTATTTTTTACATTTTTCGCAATTATTTACCTGTTCATCTTCGCCAAAAAACCATAAGGCCCGTCCAGTTTGGCCGTCTTGTCCAAATTCCGACAGTACAACGTCCAAATGCAGTCCAGAGACGATCCGCTGACGGCGACGGCGGCGGGACCGTCACCGACGCTTTTTCCCTCGGCCTTGGCCGCGCGCGAGCTGCTCCTGTACGCCCGGCTCAGGTTGAGCACGGCCCTCAGGCCACCGTTGACGAACTCCATCAGTTCGGACACGAACCCTTTGGGACGCTTGTCCCGGCGGTCGTCGGACAGCACCCGGGAGTTGGCGGACCGGAGCTGCTTGACGCGGTCCGGGGGCAGGAACAGCGAGTTCAGCGCTACCACGTCGGGGTCGTTGAGCATTTGCTGTTCGGCCGCGGGGTCCTCGTTGAGCGCGATCTGCTGTACGTTGTGCAACAGGAACAGATCGATGGCCAACAGCCCGAACGACACCAGACTGGCGGCGGAATCGTTGCCGGCCGCGGCCGGGTAGATCAGACTGGCCACGGGCGTGTCGGCGGCCACGTCGCTGGTGTTCGCGTACATCTCCCGTAATTTGGACAACACGATCGTGGCGTTTTTCGTGTACAGCGACTGGTTGACCGCGTCCACCATTTGTATCCATTGGCTCTGGTTCTTCCGGACGCCCGACTGGGCCAGCCAATCACGCACGTCCTGCAATCTTTTCCGCAGAAACCCGAAAAGCGGATTGTTGGCGGTGGACGACTTCTCGTCCGGCGCGGTCGCGGTCTGCACGACGTCTTCGAACTGCGGATAGAAATACGGGTACTCGTCGGTCTCGGCCGTACCGCCCGGCGGCCGTATGTCTTTGCCGGTCAACCGGACGGGATGCTCTTTGAGGTACGAAAAGGCGGGTATCGGATTGAACTTTTGCGCGTCTGGCTGTAGATCATCTACGTAAGGCGAGTAAGGTCGGAACTCTTCCTGCAACTCCGGTTCGTCTTCGGCGGTGGCGATTTTCCCTTCCGGCAGATCGGACCAGTTCGGGTACACCACCTCCGACTTCTTCTTCACCCCGTTGACCCCGGACGACTCTGCAGCGGTCTCTTCCTCCATCGGGCTCACGCCGTCACCGAGCTTGACCTCGGCGATTCTCGCGCCGCCGCCCGTCGCCCCGTCGTGCGGCCGGCCGAGCTTCGCGTCGACGACCCTCGTCGAAATGGCGGCCGGCAGCGTGGTCGGTTCGACTTTGCCGGCCTGTATTTTCTCGTGTTCGACAATCTCGATCCTGCCTTTTTTGTTCTTGATACTGGTGGTGGGCATCGCGTCGTAATCGGTCGTCGGGAACGCGGACTTGGTCGTCGCGCTGGTCGTCTCGTAGTGCAGGTGAGGCCGGTGCACGTTTGGCGACGGGGGGGCCGCGTGCGAGGGCGGCTGGTACGCGGACGCCGGTATCACGTCCGGTCTGCTGTTCATGCCCAGCCACAGAGTCATGCCGATAAACGACACGGTGATGAGCAGGCCGCACATGGCCACCAGCACCCAGCACCGGCCCAGGCACGACGACGACGACGTCGGCCCGGCGTCGTATCGCTTGGCGTCGCGCATCTCGTAAAACATCGTGTACGATAACGATATCGGACGGTTGACAGTAAAATCGGTGCGATAATATTACAACAATAATACAATGTTGCGTACAGTATTCAACACGACAACACCGGTCCGGTCGATAGCGGAAAACGGAATGTCAGTGAATCGTGATGTCGGATGGCGCACCGGAACGAGTCCTGCCGCCGTCGCCGCCGCCGCGGTCAGTGGCGGGGGGAAAACTACCGCAGCCGCCGCCGCCACCGCCACTGCCACTGTCGTTTAATGCACTATATGCACTCTGGTGCCCACCGTCGCCGCGCGGTGGTCGACGATGAAACGGTTTTCCGTCAGTCCGTCACACAAGTAGATCATCGCGGCGAGCGGTTGTCGCCCGACCATTGTTTTTAATGTATATTTATATATTAGGTACGACCATAGAGACGGCGAGAGAGAAAGAGAAAAACAAAACCTCACGACGACGATGATAAACCGATAGTTAAAAATTTCCTCGACCTGATTCGCGGTATGCCTGTAGGTCGGATGGGGAAAGTCGAACGAATATCTTGAACGTATTACTGCACAAAACGGGCAGGATATCGAACATTACCAATGACCGGTGCAGCCGCGTTGACCGAAAATCTGGGATGAAATTTGAACAAAACGGACGTGAAAATGTTCGAGAAATAACTGTCCGAAATTAAAAACTAAGATATTTTGTTTGAAAAAAAAAAAAATGCGTTAATAAAATTTAAAAAAAAATTATAAAATTATAAATTTCCATATCATATTATTGTCATTGTGTAACGGTTTTGAATTTGGAGTTTTGGACATTTTTTCATTGGACATTTTCGCAGAATATAGTTGACCAGCACGTCAAACGACTGGGCTCAGTACAAATAAGCATTTCATACAAATAAAAAAAAAAAATATAAAAATCGCTAAAAAAAAAAAATCATGAATAAAATAGTCCTACGTAGTATGAAACAAATTATAACTGACGTGTAGATTCGTAGTGGACCGATAAGGAGAAGAAAATAGTAAATATTTATAGGGCATACTATAAATCTGTGAACTCTAAACATTATCACAAAAAAACAACATTGAAACTAGAATTCAGTGGGGCACTGAAGACATTTAAGAGCGCAGTTAACAATGCGCAGAGTCAACAGAAATATCCGAATATATTTTTTTTTGTACGGCTTTTAAAGCCCCTTGTCACGCCATTAGACCGGTAATCTAAACCCCAATAATCCCCCGAGAAAATAATATGCAGTTGCATTATTTGGTAACCCATTTGCAGTGCGCCATTGTATCACATCTTAATGTAACAAAACACAAAACCACAGGTTGTTCTTATAACCGTCGACGAACAATAAAAGACGATTTTCTGGTGCCATTCGATTTTAAATTCATTAATTTTTTCATAGTTACTAAAATGTATCGTTGCATTTTATTCGATTATTATTTATTCATTACGAATAAGTAAACAAAAAAAAAGAAAATAATATCGACAATCGAAATTTTTTAAATATTACAAAATATCGCTGAACACACAATATTTCAATATTTCATTAATTACTATTAGAGCTTAGACAGTGTGTTAAACACATTTTATTGAATCGATTTAAAGTAAATATTTATTATTTTGTAATAAAACACGTGAATATAATTTTTGTAACAAAATTCCGAACCTTCATTGTTAAAAAAAAAAAATTGAAACCCACTATTATAATATATTTTATTTTTTATGTACTTTAAATTAACTATTAAAAATTCTAAAGATTTTACGCCTGTCGTTCACTGCAAACTAAATAATTTTATTTTCACGATGTTAATGATTTACGTGGCATTTATTTTACGCTTGCCATATTAAAAATATTTAATCAGATATTAATGATAATATTGATGGTTTTTTTTTTTTGCTAGTAGGTACCTATATTTTGTTTATTTTAAAATGTATTTTACGCAAAAAATAAAAATAAAACAGATTCTCTGTATACTAGTATTAAAAAAAAAAATTAAATAAAAACCCCCATCACTTTTATGTTTTTGATAGAGAACCCCATTCGAATCACTAGTGTAGTGTTTCTAGCAGTATTGCCGGTATTATGTGATTCATTATAACATGATATTAATAATGGGCCAAAACTATTTAAACCTCATAGAAACTAAACAAATTTGAAAACAAAAAAAAATTAAAATAACGGAAACATTTAGTGATCGCGTACCAACATTGCGTTATTTCCATTGCTCCCAGTTATTTAGAAAATTACAATGGTTTAACAAAAACGGCGTCCTCCACGCACCAACCGGACAAAATTTTGTTCCATAAATCCATTATAAACCACCCGTGGTGGGTGCAAGAAGCATCTGGTAGAAACGTTGTTAACAGACAGTGGAAATACGCCGTAGTAAAACCAATACACGAGTAGGTGCCAAAACATTCCTCGCTACGCTGAGAATCTAAAATCCAGCATCCAGATATTGTCGGATTAAATATACGTAATAAACGAAACCCGCAGCAGGTGCCTACGTTCATCGGTTGGGTATACTTAATCAACGCTACGAACATTTTGAATATGTAAATTTGTAAATATTTTCGTTTTCTAAAAGCTGAAACTATAATAAACGGGTAATATTTCATATTGTCACACGATACAAAATCATTTACAGTTTTACTATTATGTACGCCAAAAATTGTAAACGCGGAATGCATATTTGTTTAAAAAACAAAATTTTAACGACAAAATACAACACTTTCTCGCTCTGTATTCAGAATTATTTCAACCGCGTAAATAAAAATTACACGATTTTTTTTACCTACTTTTTCTAATTAACACAAGTGTAACCGATTCAAAATATCTTGAAATCAAAACATGTAAAATAGAAGCATCTCCCAATGGAAAAATCTGTTGGACGAAATAACTCCTAAAAAAAAAAAAACTCTAGGATAAAGGTAATTTTTTTTTTTTTTAAATTCTGAACGAAGCCGTTAATTTATTAGTTTTTAATAATGTTTTTGTTTTTTTTTTTTTTTTGGTAAATTTTCTACCAGAAATCTTATTCCAATCAAAAAATGTATTGAAACTTTCTTATATCATTTTTTATACAATTGGTGCACTGAAGAGGTTATTTTTTTGATTTTTTAAATGGTTTTCATAACAATCAGGGAAATAGACGTAAAAGAAAAACTGACAGATTTACGACGTTATGATTCCATTACTGAAAATTGTTCGGTTTTTTTTTTATGCGAGAAATCTTGCACCGAAATTCAAGTGTAACATCTTTTCCGAAAGATAATTTTGTATTCTTGGTGTGCCAAACAGTGGTTTTTTTGATCTTCTGCGTATATTTCTTAATAATTCGGAAGAAACTTAGGAAAAACGGAAAAGTTTAACTGCATTACCGGTTTCATTATTTTCGATTTTATTTCTGAACGATAAGTTGTTATTATCGTTTTAAAATATTTCTAGAAAATTTACATTTTTTTAAACGTGGTCAAATTTTACATAGCATTCTGAGTTGTTTATAGACATTTAACATTTTCGAGTTTCCTTAGTTTTATTCATAGGTTGATTATACGGACAAATTGTTTGTTCAAATCATTATGTTACGATCATTATAATCTCTGTATCCCTGTACACCTTCCTGACTTCTCACCTACACCAGCGGCCCACCAATCGTGCGGAGTCTCTTCTTTCTTTTTTTTTTTTTTTAAGATGTTTCTCATACGTTATAATACCTAGTTGATATTTCGAACTGCCAGAACCCTTGCATCAATCGCCGCATGGCTACCGAAAATTATTACATAGGTGTATAACGCGTATGGTATACACAATAAAATATTCGTTATTATTAGCGTGTGCAACATGCGCGTAAAAAAAAAAAAAATAATAATAATAATAATGTCATTCATCTCTACGCGCGCGTTCCGCGGAGTAAAATCCGCAGGAATTTCGGTTACACTACGTTTTATTGTGTCGCCACCGAAAATATTGCAGTCTATAGAACAACGATATTTACACTGTACATCAGCGTTGTATACCCCGCAATTGCATAAGGTCATGACGCGTTTTTTATTATTATTAATTACTTAATAAACTGCAGTGACGCGGTGTAAAATAATAGTGTACCACAAAACAACATATGTATGTATGCAGCACGCGCGCACAATACAACAACGCGTATGTAGAGGCACGCGGACTGTGGCATAAAGAGCAAGGTGCCGGCACAATGATACTTGACTAATTTAAATTAGATACCCACCTGTGTACCCCGTACGGGGTGATGAACGTGACGTAAAACGCTCGTTGTGTTCACGAAAGCGTTGACTCTTTTCAGAATTGGTTTCGTAAAACATTTAAGCGGTTACCCAACGAACGGTTTTACGCGCGGCCGTTACGGTTGTTCCGCGCCCTTATTTTCGGGGGCGGAGGTGACCGCCATCCGCTTTCGACCCTCGAACAAAGAGCAAACTACCACGCTAAACACGCCGTCGCGACCGCCGTAGCACAAAAATTCGTTAGGTTTTTTTTTTTTTTTTTTTTTGTTGAACAAACGATGGGACGGAAACGCACGTTTTAGTAAAACTACATAGCGACTCTCCCGACGCGCTCAGAATCTGAAGCAAAACAAAACAATACACCTTTAGCACCTACAGCAACGACACTGAATTATTACGGACGTAGAGATGACGAACGTCCGTTTTTATTTCACACGGAACGCGAATAAACAAACCTAATCCGATTTAATCCTTTGATGCGCACGTGTGCGCGTACGGCCTTCAGACCTCGTGACAAATTATTAATAAAATTAAAGACATTCGCGGCTTCTTTGAACAAATTAACATACTAATATCGAACACGGACGGCAAGTCCAACGATATTTTTTTCGACGGATAGGCGCCCGTATTGTAATACGTACAACGCGTAATTTAATATATCCGGTTTCGGCTTTTCGCGGACATGATACAAATAATCAACTACGTATATTGCACCTTTATTTACCCGGCATTATACCCGTCGGTTGTT